GAGATGCCGCGATGGGAGGATCGGCCTTGACTTTGTCTCACTGGGAACTTAACTGGTCGGAAATTTGCTTTTGGACTCGTGATGGGCTTAGCTAATGGACTAGCTGAGGTAGGAAAAGAAAGAAAGATTGACAGCCGTGACCGCTGTTGGGCCGATGGAATTGTGACCATCATACTGCTCCTTGTATTGTACCTGTACGAAGTGGCTGTGAGAGTGTTGTGCACCAATCTGACGGTCACGGAAGACCGGCCAACCTAAAAACGTATTGGCCTGCGATATCGCAAATGATGATGGACAATATGGACAATATGGGCTAAAAGGGTTGGAAGATCTGATGCCACGTTGTCGGCTTGCAACGAGTTATGGTTCAAGAGTGATCTCTTGCGAGCTTCTGTTCTTATCAGTCAGGCCTTTCCTTGGTTGAACGTCCAGCTTGAAGAGTTGTGGATGATGTTTGATGCGAAGGGCATGGCCTCTGAGCTTGACGTCTCCATCCCCTACTTGTACAAGTATGCCCTGGAGCCCCCTTTTTCTAGTTGGAATATTCAGACGACTTGGAGAACCGTCGTGAGCTACAAGTACACCATCCTCACTGGGAAAGTATTTCCACGTTCGTTCCGGAACCCAGACGCGCCGTCCGTTCTTGGCTTATTGGACTCGAGGTAAGCGCTCAGAACCACAGGAGAAGAAGAAAAAATATTTCAAGGGGAAAGGAGCCCGGTGCGGTGCGATATTGGATTGGGGATCTTGAGAAATGAGGTGTGCCGTTTAGGAGATGGCGCGTCCAGGGTTGTTGTGAAGGGACCCTGGCTCGGGCGTCGTGTCAAGGACCACTCTGTGGACGACCCGTGTGTCCTTGCTCAAAGATCTTTTCCCACGCCCTTCCCTTTCTCGTTGGGATACGGATCATTGCCGCTGTGAACTTGGTTTTGGTACCAAGGTACTTCGTACAACTACAGCCCTGAACCACATAGCCAACAGCGAAGGAAAGAAAACGAGAGGAAACCTGCAACATTGAAGTACCAAGTCAAAAACCTTTTCCGTCGAAGGAAATATGGTGCACTGGAAGAGAGTCGGCGCTGGGCAAAGCTCACCTTTACCAGACCCTTGTAAAGTCGACTGGATGTGTTCATACTGTGCGTACCAAACCAGCACTCCTGAGGAAATTTCCTCCTATTCACTTTTTATTATTACTGTTCTTCTTTTCGTACCCGCTGCTGGTAAGGAAGAAACTTGCAGGATCAATCAGTATGATCCCTTCTTCTGTAGGTTGTCGGGACAATCACTCACCTTGCAGGGAACCCGGTACTCTAGGGACAGGTCATAATGCTGAGTGGACCACTGACCCGTCACTTGAGTGGACTTGTCGTCTCTTTTGATTAAGGTCGGAGGGTCAGGTAAGACTGCCATGAGAAACGGCAGAAGAAAGAGCAAAGACAGGTTGAAAAAGTAACACCCCTCCCCCTTTTCCCCTTTGGACCTGGTCGCAACCGCCATATTCCCTGCAAAGGCATTTGAGGTGGAGTACAGGTGCAGGAGATCTAATTTGCAGTACATCGAGACCGCGTTTCCGGTACAGATACATGTCCTTCACATGGGAGTACAGCCCGGCCTATTCTGCGTGCTTCAGTAGCACCTGTGTGTAGAGCAGAGAAGGGTAGTGAAAAAAAGAAAGAAAAAAAAAAGGGCAATGGAGTCCGTTATTCAAGAGAACCATCTCCATTCGAAGGGGGCGGCCCGCCTCTCTGTTTTGTCTCTTGATCGATGACTGTCGACGGTGCTTGGGGTTCCCTGCGATGCCGGGACCAACGATGGTCTGGGCTTTGTCCATGTGTGCACATTTATAACACTGCTGAGACGGTGGAGCGCCCTTTGCCTCTATTTCGGGCCATGTTTGGATGCACGATGAGCCCGTCACGGTGAGCGGACGGGGCGTTTGAGCGAGTACACGGACACACAAGCTGGAGCGTATTTGTCGGAGGGTGTCTTCAGATTGTCGATTCATCCATGGGTGGGATTCATGGGGGAACCTGTGGTGGAATCAGGAAATCAATGGTGGGGGACTTGGAGGGTGGTCTGAGGATCTTCACCATCTAACAAAAAAATTGACGTCCTTTGCTCGCCGCTCCTTGGACTTGGAGCGTAGATGACGCCCAGCGCTTGAGGGGAGTGGGCTTGTGCTCCGTCTTCTGTGGTTTCGTGGTCATGGCAGATCCTGGTGTAATTTGTCAGTTTCAGTCAATGGAGTCGAATGGGATGGGGAGACCACATCCATCCACACCCATCCACACACGCGCACGCGCACACACATACATCAAAAGTATCATACTCACACATGCAAGCACAAGCCTTGATAGACAAGTACAACATTCACATAACACACACACACACACACACACACACACACACACACACACACACACACATCTCCTTACCTCACACAAAACATGCGGGCTCCTGGGGCAATTTGCATTGATTTGCCAACATGAGGCTTCTTTCTTCCCCTATCAAGCATCACTGGATCCTGCCCCAGGAATTGCTCCGAACAATGGGAGCGCATGCATCTCCCAAGCATTGGTCAGAACGCTCCCCACCCATCGCCCCTCGACGTCTGAGATTGGGAGTTGTGGGGCCTCACCTGCTCAGGTGGCCGCAACGGTGACCACACAAGGTTATCGGAAGGGGTACATATAAAGGGGTCAACGGCGGTGGTGCTAGGTGCTTACCTCGTTCCTCTCAGATTAGTGTACTTCGTACTTGCAAATTGTAATTTCCTGCCCACTCGCTTAAACGTTAAGCGCAAGGGCACTGACCAGCAACAGGCCCTCGCGAGATTTGGTAAGAGGCAATGATAGACTTTCTTGAAAGTTGCTTTCCCTTGGGAGACTAGAGAGGAAGCTCAGGGCCTAACAGCGACGCTCCAAGAGTATGGTGTACAGGTACTTGTACGGCCTATGTATGATCAATTTCCCAGGCTGGGTATCCCTTCCATCTTCTTTCTTCCTTTCGTCTTAGACATGAGGTGTTCATAATAAGAGGAGAAATGCCAAATCTATCGATAGAAGGCGTCCACTCTTGCCATTGCAGGACGCACCGTTTTTCCCTATAGGGTAGTGTGTAAATTCTTGTGCACTATCCCATCTACCCCATCCACCCCATCCATTGCAAGCATAACGTTGGCTTGCGAGGTGACTCAGACGGGGAAGGGGTGTTGTGTCTCTGTATCTCTCAGGCATTGATCTTCCTGACCCCCAAATCGATCTGAGTGGATTGGAAGTGGACGTAAGTTTTGAGGGAAAGACCCATGTGGTGACCATCCGGAACGTTCGCCACGACGTTCTGCACGGCGGGCGGAGTTCGGCTCACCTTCCTCCTCCTTCAGAACTAGGCAAGTGAGCTATGATATTATTGCGCTGGTGCGTGTTTGAAAAATGGAACGGTCGACGGTGGCGCTGGGTATCATGACGAGCACTTCAAGCTGAGAAAACTATCCAGGCCGGAGGATATTAGCGTGGCCGCCCGAATGATTTAGTGTATATTAGTACTTCTGCTCTCCCTGATGAGAATCGGGGCCGAAGTTCTCCTCGCAAGCCCTTCGTATGGATCCATTAATAACACGGCCTCCCCTTTTGAAAATCGGCGTTGACCAAGTAGTGTAAGTACAAGTAGGGGCTCTGAGGACCCTCGACGAAGGTAAAGCCACACGCACCTCGTGGGCGGGGAATGTGGACTGCCGTTAGGGTCAATTACAAAAAAGCAGGCTACTTGGCGCGCCCCACCTTTTGATGCAGCTGCTAGAATTATGCGTCTTGCTTTAGCGTTTCCTTTATCTTCCGTAATCTCAACCCCGTCGCCGTTCGCGCGGTTTGGGCGGTGACTTGGAAGGTGCTCCATGTGACCTGATCGATCGCTTCATCCAAGACAAACCCCCAAGTCGCGCCCATCCAGGGAGAGAACTGGAACATTCCTGGCTCTTCGGTGGAACATTTTCGTGGACGGCGAGAGAGACGGACCTAAGAAAAATGACGGGCTCATTGAGGGGAAGAACGCGTCGTCACTCCTAGTCAAGGGACGGCGGAGAACATTTTCGTGGCCTTGCCTGATCCCTGGCCTGGGGGTTCATGGCTTCGTCTGATTCCCTGTGTGGGTATGCTAGGGGCTACTTTCTCCAGTTACTTCGCATGTTTGCTGGCCTGTCTGGGCGCCTCAAGAGTGAAATAATGCTGCACACACTCGTATGGAGCGCTTGGGGCAAGGTTGGCGAGCGCCAAACGATTGCCCACTCTCCTTTTTCTGCTTCTTGGTTGCTCTTCTCGGTGATGCCTCTGCCCCGTAGGGCATCCTCTCAGATGGCCAGCCAGGCTCGTCGTTGGCCAGAGCCCGCGTATAGCTCGGCCAGCAGGAAGGGAATTTTCATCGGGTTGGGGGTCCTGCCACCCATGCTGGAAATTAGTGGTATGCGTGTGCAAAGTATTACCGTCATTTCCCATCTTCTGGCCCTTGAAGCCAAAAGGGCCACTTCCTCACCCGAAAAGGATTGAATGGTGGCGGTTGCCCCACAGTCCAGGCCAGAACCCTTCCCCTTCCCAGGTCGCCGTAGCACTCCCACTTGCACCTCGCACTCCCCTCCCTCACGCCTTCCCACGCCTTCCCACGTCTTCCCACACCCCCAGCTTCTTGGCCGCACACCCCATGCTTCAAGAACAAATAAGTACCACCAGCTCTCTCTTTTCTTCTTCCCTCCTCTTCTCCCTCTTCCCTCTCGTGTACCACCACAACCTTTCCCAATTCGTACTCCTTCTCTGGACGTCCGCTGAAAGTCGTGACGGATAATACCCATCCTTTTTCTGTTGTAATAACCTTCTTTCCTTTTATTGTGATACCCCTGCCTTCGAGCATTTACCACATACCCTTTTCTACAGAGATACCCAATACCCCCGCAACATCCAATACCCATTTCACCAATCTTTTTAACCACCAGAAAAAAATAATCATCAACAATGGCCGAGGAACAGAAGCCCGTCGAGGTCCCTAAGGACGCTCCCGTCGCCGAGACTGCTGAGGTCAAGCCTGTCGAGGCCCCCGCCGCTGAGGAGGTAGTTGCCGAGGCTGCTCCCGCGGAAGCCACCGAGGCTGCCCCCGCCACCACCGAAGCTGCCGCTGAGGCCGCGCCCGCCGCTGAGGAGAAGAAGGAGGAGGCTGCCCCGATTGAGGCGGGTAACCTTGACCACAAGGGCGCTGGTGCTAACTTCCCCAAGAACTTGTACTATTCGAAGCAGCCCTTCTGGTTCGGCACTGACGCCATCGAGAAGAAGGCCCTGACTGCCTATCTTAAGCACGAGAAGTCCACTGTCGTTGCCTACCACAACGCCTCGTGGGCTCAGACCACTGGAAAGGGTCTCCTCTTCTTCGGCGACAAGAATGCCCCCACCGGCATCATCAACCTTGCTGAGGCAACCGAGCCCCAGACCGACGGTACCAGCAAGTTCCACTTTGCCGCCAACGGACAGAAGCACTCTTTCAAGGCTGCCAGCAAGGCCGAGGCTGAGAACTGGGTTTCTCAGATCAAGAAGTACATTGCCGAGGCCAAGGAAACTAGCGCCACCATCACGGAGAACGAGGCCTACAAGGCGGCTCACGAGGCTTACAAGCCTGCTGTGAAGAAGCCCGAGGAGAAGGCTGAGGAGAAGAAGGAAGAGGAGGAGCCCGTCGCCGCCGCCGCTGCGACTGAGGAGGCCAAGCCCGCCGAAGAGACTCCCGTCGTCGCCGAGGAGGCCGCCGCTGCTGAGCCTGCCGCCGAGGAGGCCAAGGCCGCCGAGGAGTCTGCTAAGGAGGACGAGTCTAAGCGTCGTTCTGCCAGCCGGAAGCGAAGCTCTGTTCTTGGCTTCTTTGCCAAGAAGGACAAGAAGGAAGACAAGAAGGAGGAAGCTGCTCCCGTCGCTGCTGAGGAGGCCAAGCCCGCTGAGGCTACCGAGGCCCCTGCTGCCGCTGAAGAGCCTGCTGCCGCTGCCGAGGTTCCCGCTGTCGCTGCTGAGGAGGCCCCTGCTGCCGTGGTCGAGGCTCCTGTTGAGGAAGCCAAGCCTGCCGAGGAGGTCGCTGCCAAGGAGGCCCCCAAGGAGAAGCCTGCCAACGTTAAGCGCAACAGCTTCTTCAACCTTCTGCAGAAGAAGGATAAGAAGACCCCCGTTGAGGAGCCCAAGCCCGCGGAGGCTGCCGTAGAAGCCCCCGCCACGACCGAGGCTGCCCCCGTCATCCCCCTGTGGAGACCACGACTCCTCTTGCTGAGGCCGTCGCTCCTGCCGCCGATGCCGCTGTTGCTGAGGTCAAGGAGACCGTTGCCGCCACCAACGGTGAATCCAAGAAGGAGGTCAAGTCTGAGAAGCGCAAGTCGTCGCTTCCTTTCCTCGGCAAGAAGGAGAAGGTCGTCCTTTCCTCCGATGAGGAGGGTGAGAAGACCCCCAAGTCCCCTAGCGCTTTCTCGAAGCTCAGGGCTACTATCAAGGTTCGTGCAAATCCTGTTGTCGATGTAGGTCGCATGTGATGCTAACTTTGGTTCACAGGGTCGTTCTAAGGCCACTCCCGCCGAGAAGGCCGAGGAGAAGCCCGCCGAGGCTGTCGCCGAAGAGGCCAAGCCTGCTGAGGAGGCTGCGCCTGCCGCTGTTGAGGAGGAGGCCAAGCCTGTCGAGGCTGCCAAGGAGGAGGAGGAGAACAAGCCCGAGGCTGTCGCCACCGCCCCTGTCCCTGCCGTCACTGCCGCCGCTTAGATGCCTGGCCGGTAGTGATGTGGTCGTTGGTCGCTGAGGAGAAATCCCGCTGGGCCGGAGACACAGGGGCTGGTGACATCGCTCACGGCCCTACGAGACAGACGTTTTGCTTTTAAACGGTCGGGAATCGGATCTGCATTTCAAGATACCCCGTCGATATTGGGTTTTAGTGCCATTACATGGTGTGCTGACGGCGTGTCGTCGCCATTCCAAGGCTCTGAAGCTGGGCTTTCCTTGTTTTCTCTCTCACCGTTTTAATACCATTCCCGTAGTTTCCTTCTATCGTTATACCACTGTCGCAATCCTTGATATATCCTTCTTTACCTTCACTACTCTCCTTATTCATGCTTTGTCTTGATGCTTTATTCTTTGGGATGTTTCATGTTGCCATCTTCTTACCCCTGAGCGCGCGCCTTGATATGTCTACTTATGGCGATGGGTGGAATACGTAACCGAGAGACGGTCTGAGATAGTCTTTGTCGTTCACAGTCTCGGGAGGCAAACTTTCAAACACTCTCCTTGAAAGGCGGATGCATGAAGTGATGCTATTTTCTCGTTGTTTCCTTTCCTCTTCTTTTCCGTCTCCTTTCGGTTGAAGGCCTACCCCGGTAATGCTGGATAGCTTCACTCTATACTAATACAAAACCTGTTGCGGAGCTGAAAGGGTCCTAGACGTATTATGAAGCATATACTCAGAAATGTTTATTTTCTTCGAGGAGATTTACCAATATGTGATGTAGGAATCTCGCTTGGTTGCTAGCGGACATACCCAACTTGCATCTTGTAGAAAAGGGAAATGAAAACCTTTCCTGAAGAAAAGAAAACCAAAACAGGCCGGGCCATACAAGAGGCCGTCCCACCTGCCGTTGAGATATTGGCCCCGCCATTCGGCAAACGCCACCGAGCCCCCTCATCTGTCATGTGCGAGTGTCCGTCCCACTGGTATCATCAAGACAATTGACAACAAAGGAAAGGAACTGTGAAACCAAGACAGCTAGTAGCAAAGGTGACGAAGAAAAAAAGATGTACAGATGAAGCGACAATCCTCAAAGAAGAAAAAAACCCAAGGGAAGAAAAGAGCAAGTAACATCGGCTTGAATTATACAAAAGACAGAAGAGTGCAGCTAACGCAGCGAAATCTGACAAGGCCAAGAAGCAAAGGGGTAAAGGGGTGTAAAATGCAAAGGACGTGGTGTTACAGTGGGTTTTACTAGCCGACGCTTACTCGCTGCCGTCGGCTAGGTTGACGGGCGGCGGCAACGTGCCGTACCGCTCGGCGAGCTCCTGAATCTTGGGTATCAACTCGGGAAGGCGGAATGGTTTGGAAATGACGTCGTCCTATTATCGCACATCGGTGGTTAGTAGTTGACCAAACGGGACGAAGTCGGCCCCTGGGGGCGGAAGCCCTTAGGTGGACGGGCGGTCCACGGGAGGCAAGAGAGGCCTTGAAGAGGCACCGAGGAAGGGGAGGTTACTTACAACGCCTGCCGACTTTGCGCTTTCAATCTGCTGGGGTCTCGCGTACGCCGTCACGGCGATGATGGGGATGTGGGCCGTGATGGTACCGTCTCTTTGTAGTTCCCTGATGCGTCGCGTGCACGTCATACCGTCCATGACGGGCATCTCGAGATCCATGAGGATGACGGAGATGTTACCGCCGTCACGCTCCTTGCCCTTCCAGAAACGAGAATTCTTTATTCTCTCAAGGGCCTCTCCGCCGTGGTTGGCCACAAAGGTATTGCAGTGGAAGCTGCGCAGCTGCCTCTGCAGGACCTTTTGGTTGACCACGTTGTCTTCGACGATGAGGACCTCCATGATGCGAAGCGAATCCTCAGCTAACCCCGGACCATTCCGGACCTGAAGGGGCTGGGAAGTCGGGACCGCGATCTGCATATTGCCGCCTTCTTCGTCACCATCATCACCAGGATCCTCCGACTTCCGACTCTTTATGTAAAAGGTAAAGGTGCTGCCCATGCCCTTCTTAGACATGACGCCAATCTGCCCACCCTGAAGCTCCGTCAGCATGCGCGAGATGAAAAGGCCGAGCCCTGACCCGCCATATTGCACGTGCGTGCGGGGAGAGGCCTGGGAGAAGCGCTGGAAGAGGACCTTGATCTCGTCCTCAGTCAGGCCTGGGCCAGTATCCTGCACCGAGAAGTGGAGATTAACCTCTTCGCCGTGGCCCCACTCCTCGTCCTTGGTGATGGCAGCGTTCTCTCGCTGGCTAGGGAAGTACGTGACGTCCGATCCATCCTCGCCCACTTGTTTTGACGCACTGAGGCTCACTACAATGACCCTCTGCTCGCGGCTCTGAGTGAATTTGATGGCGTTGGTCATTAGATTGATGACAACTTGCCGCAGCCGGGAGGGATCGATCCGTACCCAGTCGATGCCCTGGTCACGGTACGGCTGCTCGACGCGGAACTCGAGGAGAATGTCACGGCTGGCAAGTTCGGTCTCGAACATCTTCAGCACCTTCTCCACCACTGCTACCGGTTGGACCGATACCGGAGTGACCATGAGAAGCTGGGAGTCGAGTTTGGACAGAGTCAGGATGTCGTCGACGATGCGCTTTTGGTGGCTCGCGCAGAAGCTGATTGTATTCGCCGCATCCGCGCAACAGTCCAGCAGCGCCTTAAGGTCGACGTATTCGCCCTTGCCCGCTCGGAAATTACCAATGTTGTTGAACACCTCGTCTGCGCATTGAAGTATCGCGCTCAAGGGATTCCTCATCTCGTGACTGGTAATGTCGATGAAGTTCTCTTGCTGGCGCTTCAGCTCTACTGCCTCCTCCCGGCGCTGTTTCTGGGAGTATTCGGCCCATTTTTGCGTCGAAATGTCGGTGAGACAGCCGAAAATGGACTTGACATGGCCATTCTCGTCTTTCTCCGGGTAGGCACTCATGAGCACCCACGTCTCCATCACCTGGCCGGCGTTCTGCCGTGTGTGGCTGAAGCGGAACTCGTGCGTGACGGCGATCTTCTCCTCGGTCAACTTAGCCCACACTCTCCTAACCGTTGGTCTGTCCTCTTCCATCACACTTCCCATCCAGGCGTTGACGCCGTTACCGGTACGCGGGTGGCGCGATATTTCCCACCACATGTCATTACAGTAGTTGATGAACCCCGTAGGGTCGGCGATGAACATGCCGACGGGGGCGAACTCGGCCATGCGGGTAAACCTATATTCGCTTTCAACAGCCTCTTGTGTACGTTGGATGAGCTGTTTCGATAGCTTCTGCTTAACCTGGTCAGCAATTAAGGCTGCAGTCTTGCCGCGCCGCACCTCTTCCTCGAGAAGAGTGAGAGAGGCAATAGACGTCTCCAACTGGCGGCCGAGCAGATTGATAAACAAGCGAAAATCATCATCGTATGGCCGCCGCGGGTTGAGTCCTAGGACAACGAGGGCGGCTACGGCGTCAGACTCGGCGGGGCTGGCGCGGAGGCGAAGTATTATGGCCCTCTGGCAGGGGTCTTCGAATCCGCGAGGTTCGATCCCGTCGAGTAGAGTTGAGGGTAGGGTTCCCTCCGTGGAAGAAAGCATTATCGGGCACTCTTCGGCCTCAAGTGCCTTCCGTAGGTACGGGGCAAACCCTTCGTCGCTAGCGCTTAGATCGATGTGTTTCGCCGCCGCGCGGTGTCCGGAAGGAAAACCAAGGGAGCCTTCAAGGGTGAGTTGTGGCAGTTTGGGGTCGAGACTATCGGCAGCCGACGACGAGATTGATGATGACGACGACAATCCGCCACTAGGGACTTCCTTGGCAGAGTAGATGAGGGCGAATGGAATATCGTAGCCGTTAGATTCGAGGCCTTTGAGAACCCGTGTCCAGAAGCCTTCTACATCAGTCGTCGTGCCTATCCTCTCGCTTATTCTCCTTAAAGTAAGCATGCGGCGCTCCCCTATCCGTCGCCTGGTGTTTTCGAATGCCGGGTTATACACGCCGACGACTTCTCCCTCATCATCAAGCACAGGGACCATAGACCAAGTAAAGTAGACTTCCTCAATAAAGCCTTGGCGATCCACAAAAATGTGATCGTCGTACTTCATGATGGCTTGCCCGGACTCCCGCGCTTCGCGGAAAACAGGGTCTAGTTGATCCCAAGTCGACGTCCAGGCATGCACGCATGCTCGACCCATAAGTCGGGGGTGCTTCTGACCTGCGATTTCAATGTACGCTTCGTTATAGATGATGGCATTCTCAGGGCCCCAGTAAATTGCTGCGGGGTGGGGGCTCGCCATGATCAAGTTAGCCATTACCCTCAGGTTGAGCGGCCAGGAGTCGATGGGCCCCAGAGGGGTTGAGGCCCAGTCCACGGAACGAGCAAACCTGATGTGCTCCGACACATCATCTGTCAGGGCAACCCTCGTCCAGTCGAAAGAGATTCTATTTGGAGAGGGCTGAGAAATGTTCCCTAGATGGAGTCCCTGGGTTGACTTGGCATCATCGGGAATGTGACACGCGCCGGCCATATCCAGCCCGGATCCCGATAAAGCGTCTTCTGACCCGTCGCCCCCATCTGACATAAGTTCGCCGTCGGTAGATGAGACTGCGCTCGGCCCGTTGGTCATGGCGTCAGGCGAAGGTGGGCCAAGTGTAGATGCCGTAGGCAAGGGTGCGTTGCTACCGCTGACGACTCGGAAGCGATTGCGCAACGTCACAAAGGTCCATAGTACCCCTGCGTAGCCATGAGGGTGATGGTTGTTAGGTGACCCCAGAAGGCTACCTCGGCCCAGCACCCAGTCCTTGAAACGCGATATTTCGCTATCGGTGGTGAGCTTGGCATCGAAGGCATTGACTAAATTACGGATCACGGTGTATGATCTAAGGGATTCATTCGCATACACGACTGACATCTTAGGCTCCTTTGGCGTAGATGAGGTCAAGTCTACGACAAAGCAGGGACGGATGTCCTTGTCAAGCAGCTCAACGATGCCGATATCTTGAAGCGCGCGATTCGGGGCGAGATCGAACTGGCTGTCCTCCAAGGAGCGGAAACTGCCAAAATACCCCTGGGCCTGACTGTTGGTAGGAAGAACACCTTTGGGTAGACGCACGGCAGTGATGCCATCAGCAAGGTTGGGCTTCCCATCTTGTGATGAGATAGTGGGGTCTCTAGTCGGCAACTGCGAGTGCGTATCTGTATTGCTGGATTGGTGTATTATACGGGCAGAGCTCTGGTCCCATGGCCAGGGTGACGACGGAAGTTGAGGAGGCGTAAGAGCGTCCACTTCGACGGAGAGATCGACCATATCGCGACGGCTCCTCTTCGGAGGGGATTGGCGGCAGTTGGTGTCTAGCGTATCGTTAAACTGTCGCTTCCTATCTGAACAGACTGGGAGGCGAAAGGGGGCCTCCGAGTTATTTGATATCGCGGATAGCTGTTCGAGTACCCTGGATTCTTCTCGGAGATCGCTGGGCAGGTCGTTTGCCGAAACTATCGGCGACCACTCGTTGGGAAGAATCTGGTCGGCGATGTCGGCCCCAATATTTAGACCTAGGCTCGCGAACCTTTTCGGCCTGTTGCTCACAGTGTTCCTCGCGGAATCGGGGTAGGCGGGGGCATCGTGAATGTGCGCTGATCGTGTGCTGGTCGCCGAGGCATTCGGAGTGTGGGCAAGGCCACTATTTCGATATTCTACTCCACCCTGGCCTTTGGATAACGGGCCATCGAAAAATCACTTTGCGCGTCCACCATTTCAGGTGATTTGTTATTGAGACGAGTCGTCTGCAGATATGTGCATCAGTGCGCCACCTTCTCTCTCGCTGTGGGTGCAGGATCCGCAATGGCTGAGGCGAACAGGGGAGGGGCCTCGGGTTCGTGGTTGAGGAGAAAAATAGTTGAAGCTGCTGGTGACAACGAAGCGAAATAAATTGCCAAAGTCGAGATAGTGCCCACGGATTTATATGATCGGGTAGAGTATAGATATCGCGAGAGTAGGTAATTTGTGGTAAATGGAGGGGAGTGATTGGAAAAATCGCGTTGCTGGAGGCGAAAAGGGACGCGGCCAGGTCGAAGGGTGGCTAGTGTTAAATGCCGGCAGAGATGAAGCGTCTGCAATCCTTGAATCAAGGGGGTTGCAGGGGTTTAAGAGCCCGGGAGATCACTGCTGTGCTCATCAAAAGGCGTGTCAAAGAATATTGATACCGTGAGCGGATAGATCTCAAGGGTGGGGGTCTTGTAAGTAGGAAAGATGGAGAGATGGAGAGAGAGAATGATGGGAGAAGAGATTGAAAGTGGAGAGGGCAAAGGAGAAGCCGTCGTGTACTCCGGAGTTAGGCAAGCAGTCGGGGCCCTCGAGGATGAGGCGGAGGCAGGAGGGAGGGCATGTTACTTCGTTCAAAGACCCCCCAAAAAACGGGAACACGGACTTTCAGGGCACTAGCACGAAAGGAACGAGATCAGACATGAAGTTTTCGAGAGTCATGCCCCTAGCCGACTTGGTCTCGGGCCCTTTGAAGTCGCAGATCAATAGACCACAGTTCTAGACCTCGAGAACATCAAGGAGCCAAGGGCATTAGTGGGGAAGGTGCCGAGGAGAAGTGGAGGGTGGGGCAGGGGAAAGGGCCAGTCCATCCAGAGGCAAGAGGTACCTGAAGCCCCAAAGCTTCAGATTGATTGCCTAAAACGTATTTTAGGACCAGCACGCCCTGCTTCTGCTGCCGTCCTTGCCTTGTGTGGATTCACCCGAGCCTGACGTTTGTCCTACCCAGTAATCGAACAAAGACCCCCAAGATCGTAGTTCTAATGTTGCAATGCATCAACTGATTGTTTCGAAGCAGGTTCGGTGCGCGAAAGCGGGTTCGCGTCAACCGACATAGCTATTTCCCGCCTTCCTTCAGCCCCAGAAGGATGTGGTAAATAAAAAGAAAGGAAAATCAAATACAACTGAGAAAAGGAGAAGAGGTTCTGGATCGTGACGAGTGCGATGAATCGACGATCCTACTTGGAAGATATCTTCAACAAGCGTAACTGTAGATCACTACTTTAATATTGGTAAAAGAAGGAGAGGGAGAAGAAGAAAATGAGCTCTGCGTGGCACAGAACGTATTGAGTCGAAGAGCACTGATTGATCCTGGACGACTGTTAATCAATCACAAGAAAGGATCAATTGGATGTGAAGATTGCGCAAGGTGCCCACATTCCCCATTGATGCAGGCTTGAGCCCGAACAGGAGAGAGTTGGAGGGCAAATGCAAACTTCTCGATTTTGACCAAACTTTCCGATCAGCCGGCGACCCTGACAGCCCTGAGAGCCGAGAGCGAAGGAGTGGCGCTTCCTTGTTTCATGAAGGGGGCACCGGAGAGCGAGGGAGAAAGACCCGAGCAGAGCACAGTTGGGGGCAGCTGAGACCAGCTTATGACGATCACTTCCTCTTTCAACATTTTAAATCTCTTCTGGTCCCCGACTGGGACTGGTCTGGGAGGCATTCGGTATCTGGGCGACAGGCAAGTAATAAAAGGGGGTTTCCGGCCGGATTCCATTCAATTGCATCAAAGCTTTGCCCAAGTGGAGGGGCGGCGGGGCGCCATTCCATCACCAGAGCTGTAGTGGAAACCGATGCAATCCTGGTTTGCTCACTTGCTCACTCTCGTGCTTCTCTTCCAATGCAGGGAGAAGCAAATGTGCAGTAGGCGCCATTAGTCGGATCATTTCTATCCCTCATCGAACCGAGACAAGTGCGAGCGGCAACAGTTCCGTTTTATTTTCTTTTTCCCGCCTCCCCTTCTTTTATCTCGCAGAGACTAAGACTCGATGATGAGAAAGCCTGTGCGATTGCGCAAAGACCGAAAGAACCGAAATCATCTCACACCGAAAGAAAGAGCCATGGAATCGCGGAGGAGCGAGTCACTCCTTGACGACGACCCGGCACACACTGAAGAAGCCATCCTCATGATGGGTGTGACCTGTTCGATGGAGATGACGAGCATGCACACTCGTGGGTCGGGATGCCAGAAGCAGAAACAATTTGATTCACTGCCCCAAAATACAGTCTGACACATCCATCAGTTGATTAGAAGGGCATCAATGTAGCTTGAGTCCACTAGACCCGCGTGCCTCTCCTCTTTCTGCAGCAACGTGGTAACAATATTGAAGGGTCTGCCAACTAACACAGTGGTCCGTGGGAACAATGGCAGGAGCACAGGCATGAGCGGAAAGGGCGCTCGGGTCCTTCCAGGGCACTTTTTTATCATTAGACGCCTAATGCTAGTCTGGAGAATACCCATGGATCAATGGAACATCGAAGTGGAAGATAGTGGAATCTGAAGATGAGGAGAGCTCGAAATGTCAGGAGAGGCTAGCACAGTCCGGGAGTCCTGGAAAGGCAGGCTGGTTTTCCTATTGAGCGTTACCATTGACGCTTACGAGGTCACCAGCCCAATCCCAAGGACAGGCGAGAGACCAGCCAATGGAGCGACTACTTCCCGTGGCTCGAAATCGCATCCCCAACGCACGACAAGCATGGAGATTGGTCCAAGCGACAACGCCTGTGATTGGACGTTTTCTTCTCACAGGCGTAGACCATCATTGCTCACGACCCAGATCGTGGCCAATCACCCGTGGCTCACAACTCCGGGCGCTTAGAGCCCCTGTCATCCCTCTCTCTCATTGGACCAGAGCTCAACCAGCATGCACCGCATTCGCAGCATGCACACATCGCATCGCCCATTTCCTCCCTTCTTCCTCACCCATCAGCTTACCCTGCTTGTAGAAGTACAGAGCACAGGCGCCAGGGAAAAGGGTTTCCTCCCCTTCCGCCAACTCACCCTGTCCCTCCACCAGCACAAAGAGGACCATGGAAAGTGTGACAAGGGAGGGGCGGTATGCGATACGGGACGTGAGGGGCCTGTAGTATTGGAGTGAGAAACGGCTGCCGCCAGGTCCTTTGGGTGTGCAACTGATCTATTATTGATTTCTCCCATTTAATACACCACGCCTGCTCAAACCGTTTTTTTCACTTCTTTAGTCTTCTTCAGTTCCCAGATCTCTGCAAGAACCAAAGGGCGACAATCTGTAATGCTATGGTGCGATTCGCTCAAGGAGACGTGATCCCATGAGCTGCCATTGAACTCGACTTGCCAGCCACCTCCATTCGCGAGGTTCGCCGCCAACAGCAGAATTACGATAAGGCTCACGACCAGCCAGTCGCCCGCGACCAAAAGAGCGACCAACATCCCGACCCTTCAAGTCCGACGGCCTGCGCCTCACACCACCACCGTTGAGATGGGCTACCGCATCATTCACAGGAAATGGAGGCTTCGAAGACCCATGTGGTGGGGGATGGTCTTTGAGCTGATCGGCCTCATCCCAATCCTCGTCCTCTTCGGAATCGAGCAGCCCGACCTCTATCGCAGCAAATTCTGGCAGATCGGCTTCGATAACAAACTCAACTCGAACCCGAATATGATTCTCTATGCCTACGCCAACCATCGGCCGCTGCCCACCATCCCTTTTGTTTGGTCCCAAAGGTAAGCCCGTTTCCCCACGAGCCCCTTCATTTTCACGAGAAATAGTCTAACCTTTGACTCCCAAACAACTAGCCTCACCGACTTCAATGTCGCCATATCCATCATCGCGCTCTTTCTCCTTCTCAGCAAGCTCATCGCCTTCATCATGAGGGTCTGGTATCCCCTGCTCGCCGTGGTCGTGAACGTCGCTGCCGTTGCGCTGTGGACAACCAGTGTCTACGGCCAGATTGGTCCAGACTTCGCCGATCCGCGGTATCCAAGCCCAGTAGCATGGTACATTCGGATGGGCTGCGAGATTGCCAGACCCTACAACGCCGTCCGTCTTTGCATGATCGCAAAGGGCACCCTTGCCGTCACCGTATACATGCTGTAAGTTGCGCCTTGTTCAGCCCTTTCCCTTTCCCTTTTCCCCGCCTTGGCTAGAAATCGAGTTTGGCCCGGACCTGGACTAATCAGGCGCACTATAGGTTCCTCTATCTCGTTAATCTCGGACTCGCTATCCACTCGATGCTTCCAAACGAACTGAACAAGTCGAAAGAGGAAGAGGAAGAGGAAGACGCAGATGATTCCAACGAGGGAAAGAACAACAACGTTGAGATGAGGGGCATGGCGTCACCCATGACGCCTGGCGTTCCATACACCCCAAGGACGATGGCCTTCCGTACTCTTGATCGCAGAGGTCCTTCATCATATGCGTGAACGAGCAATGTTACCGCCCCGAGACGGCGATTTTGCCCCCTCTTTTATCCCTTGCTTTAGTTGCAAGTGTGGACGCCTTTTCTCCTGTTTATTCCCTATATTTTTTTCCCTTTGTTAATCCGTCCATATCGGGCCGTATATGGGGTTAACTTGCAACGATATTGCATCGTGCAAGCTTGCATCCATTGAGGACACGGCGGGAAGCCGCGTTCTTGAACCTGGTCTGGGACGCATTGGTGCAAAATGGAGTTTCGGTTTGGGGGATACTACTGCTGCCAAGATCAATGGCTTTTGGGATTGTAGGATATTGAAACCTTCTGGTAACACTTTGAGAACTGAAACGATATTTCACCTCAACGGAAAGCAATGAGTGACAGTGAATGAATGGACTAGATTCAGACGTGGAGACACGCAGATTTTGGCAGAGCCACGGCCATCAACAATCAAAGTAGGCCCTCGACACTCTCTGTCCCTGGAGAACGGGCAACTATAACCCATGCGGGAGATTAGCTGAGAGGTGACGCGGGGATGAGGCCGGGTAGAGCCGGGGGTCCCGGGCGCCAATTGAAGATGAAACGGCGTGATAGGGGTACTGAGGCCGGGTCGGGGAATGCTGAAGAGCGACTCTTGCTTGCTTAAATTCAATCGGAATCCTTTCTTGGCACGCGCTAGCAAATACCGAGGTAGACTCAAGCCGAACACGGCGCACATTTCTCGCAAGTCACCATCACAGGCGGCCTTCACTCCTCCTCGCCCTTCCTCGCCGTGTGATTTGATTCCTGCTTCTATATCGGTGAAAAGCCGTGGCTACCAAATAAGGCAATCGACGATTAGGCGTTTTTAAAAATCCGGCCAGTCCAAGCCTAATCCACCCAGTCCCATGAAGGCTCCCTAGATCGAGCCAACTGGTTTCGCATCCCCGCCATCAATCTTGACAGTGTCCGTAGCTACTAGCGGCAGACCCCACCACACCCCGCCTGGAAACCACCCAAAATCCACCATTGATTTGACATCAGCAACGTTGAGAGCCAGCTCAAGTGCTGGGGGAGTGGACGTCATTATCTATTGATCTCCCAAATTGTCACATTTGAACATCGCTCTCCAGCCACAACTTCAAGGCATTGAGCTAGCCACCAGATCCTCGGGCAATTTTGCACAGAAATCTATCCATTTTCGCTCCCATCTCCCTCCCTCATCAGTTTCACACTCCAAATTGGAATAACAAACAAAAAGAAAAGGGCAAGAAAGCCAAAACACGGAGCCTAAGCATCGCAATAGTCCGTTATCTCTAGGGTGTCCTAGCCCCTGTTGCGGTCAGATTCCTCGCTGTTTAAACCTCCAGGCTCCGCCTAGGCTGGTCAGTGTAAGAGCCTTCGCTTGGGTGACAGTGACACCACACAAGAGCACGTTACGTCGTGCATGAGATAACAGAAACGCAGCACTCGCCCATTGGCGCATGCCCTTCACCTCGCGTGGCCTTCCCAAACCTAGCTTCAAGCCCATCATGGTTGCGTTGCTACAAAAGGCGACTGTGCCGCAGGCCCTATTGGGCGCGAGGCCTATGAGGCGAGCTTGTCTAATTGCTCGACCTTTCCCCATACCTGTGTCGTACAGTTTCGTGCGATTTGCTTCCAGGATGGCTCCCAAGGTGAGTTCCGCCTGAGCCTGGGCTGTCTGCCACGCGGGCCTCTTTCTCAACATCATCATCTCCCTCGCTGCCCATCTCGGAATCGCTGACCAAGGCTCCATCGAACCCCCACATATAGCTAAAGGACGCTTCTTTGCTCAAGCAAGGTGTTACTTACGTCAACGGAGAATGGGTGGGCGCGAAGTCGGGCAAGACTTTCGAAGTTCGAGGCAAGCACCGATATCTCCCTACGCTTCGTCCGTTGTCGGTCTAGAGCGCCTGCTTACTAGTATATCCCAGATCCCGCGACGGATGAGTTGATAGGAACTGCTCCCGAGTGCGATATCGAAGATACTGAGGCCGCCATCAGGGCAGCGGAAGCAGCTCTTCCAGACTTCAAAACCAAGACCGGCCGCGAGAAAGCCAAGCTGCTCCGGAAATGGTACGATCTTATGATGGAAAACACCGAAGACCTGACGACCTTGATTACGTGGGAGAATGGAAAGCCCTCGCCGACGCCAAGGGCGAGGTCACCTATGCCGCCAGCTTCTTTGAGTGGTTTAGCGAAGAAGCGCCTCGAGTATATGGGAGACGATCCCGGCTACCGTCCCCGGAAACCGGATATTTACGATCAAAGAGCCCGTTGGCGTCTGTGGACTAATCACGCCGTACGTCAAGCCAATGTCTACATCCCACCTCTAAATTCTAACTGTGGAATAGATGGAACTTCCCAGCCGCGATGATAACTCGCAAGATTGGCCCCGCGCTGGCTGCTGGCTGCACTGTTGTGTGCAAGACCCCGGGTGAAACCCCGTACACCGCCCTCGCCCTTGCTGAACTCGCCCATCGCGCCGGGATTCCTAAGGGCGTTGTCAACTTTGTCACATCCCATCATAACACCCCAGCTATTGGCGAGGCCATGGCTACGTCCCCCATCATCAAAAAGCTCTCCTTCACGGGTTCCACCAATGTCGGGAAGATTCTGATGAAACAAGCTTCGGGAACTTTGAAGAAGCTATCCTTTGAGCTTGGTGGGAACGCGCCCTTCATCGTCTTCGATGACGCTGATGTGGATCTTGCCGTCACCGGCGCCATTGCTTCCAAGTTCCGCTCGTCTGGCCAGACATGTATTTGCGCCAACCGGATTTTTGTCCAGAGTGGCATCTACGACGAGTTTGCGGCAAAATTCACCGAGCAGGTGAAAAGTTCAAGGTGGGCAACGGCTTCGCAGACGGCATAACCCACGGTCCTCTCATCCACGGTCGCGCCGTGGACAAGGTCCGCGAGCACGTTAAAGATGCTCAGGACAAGGGCGCCAAGCTGACGGTCGGCGGGAGTCCTCTTCCGGATGTCGGCGACAATTTCTTCGAACCGACCGTGCTGACGGGCATGAACTCCGAGATGGCGCTTGCTTCTGAGGAGACATTTGGCCCCGTCGCTGGCCTCTTCCCTTTCAAGTCGGAAGCTGAGGTTATGAAGCTCGCCAACGATACCAACGTCGGCCTCGCCGGATATGTATACTCAAGAGATTCGGCAAGAATCTATCGAGTCGCCGAGCATCTCGAAGTTGGCATGATTGGGGTCAATACTGGTCTGATCTCTGATACCGTTTCTCCGTTTGGGGGCGTAAAAGAGTCTGGCTTTGGAAGAGAGGGTTCCCTTTATGGCATCGAGGAGTTCCAAACCATCAAGACCATCACACTCGGTGGAATGGGTAAGCCCCTCCAGGCATAAGGCTGGAAGGGGAAAGTAAGGAGGACTAAATAAGAAAAAGAAAAAAAGAGCATCGAAGCCCTGGCCTAAGTCAGTTTTTAGAATAACTGTAATGCAAATTTTTGAGGTCGCATGTGCAAGCAATACTCTGTCGCCCACCTAATAATAGAGCAAGAGAGAAAGAGAAGAGTGCAGCTTGCATTGTCCTCGCATTGACCAATAAACGGGGTCGGGTGGTGGTTATGTAATCGCGACAGGTCCAAAATTTCATCTTGAGCTTTCTCCTGGCAAAGGCCATCATCCAACCTCTCGAGCAATTCAGGGACGAGCGACGGCCCGCAAGCAAAGCCCCTCGTCATTGAACAATTAATAATGCGGCGGAACCTTCTCAGACCGGCCTATGGCCTCGGGAGATCGGAGTTTTACCGAACCCACGACGCCACAAGATGCTTCACGACAACACAGTTCTTCTCCAATCCCGAGGCCGGCGACAAGCCTGCCAACGCGCGGCCAAATTTCCAACAGCGGACCGAGCGAGCTTCCAAAGAGGTCAACGCCCTCCTAAAGGAGTCTTCCGCTAAGAATGCCGGCCCCCGAGGCCCTGCTGGCGCGACGGGCGGCCCCACCCCGCGAGGAAAATCATCAACATGAAGAGCCTTCCACGCGGCCGCGGTCGCGGAAACCTAATCTCTCTCAATCTCATGAGGCCTCACCTCCAAACCGGAGGTCCCGCTGGTGGGCCCCCGGCCCCCAGAGAACTGGGGCTCCTAGGGGAGGGGCGCGTTCAGAGGCCAAGGCTTCAACCGGGGTCCTCGCGGAGGCGCGCGAGGCGACCAGGGCCGGCAGGGAGGCCGCGGAGGTGGAACGGCGAGGCGGCCCAAGAAGGAGGATGGCGAGCGGCAAAATGACCAGGACTACGCCAACAGGAAACGGGGGCAGCCGAAGCAGGAGGCGGAGACGCTTCAGGAACGCCAGGCGCGATTGGCCCGCGACGTCGGTGTCACGACATCCTACAACCCCACGACGACCCTCGAGACCCTCGTACCCTTCCTCCCCGAGGTGGCAACCGAATCCAACGAGCTTGGAAGGCTTGCCACCGCCATGACGAACATGCGCGTGCTCGCCGGTGGCCATGTCGACCCCAACCCCATTGTGAATCCGGAAGACATGTACCGCGATTACAAGCTCCGGGGTTCCATGTTCTTCACCGACCTTGCGGCAAAGAAAGCCATCGAGCAAAATGTCGAGAGGGCCAACGGCAAGATCCCCGGCCCGGACGATGTCATCAAGGAAACCATCATCAACAAGACCATCCTAGGCGAGTATGAGCCCGTAAAGTCTGCCGCCATCAACGACGTCGTCACCATCACCAAGAACTTCCACCTGAAGGAGGGCACGTACCAAGCGAAGCAGACCAAGGCGTTCGAGGCGAAGCTCGTGTCACTGTTGAACAAGGCCAATGCCAAGCCCAAAAGGGCGGAAAGGCGAAGCCTCAGGCCAAGGCTGCGTAGATAATTGGGTGAGGCGTGGTGAGGAAAGTTTTGTACTAGTATGGTCGAGGCAATATAAGGGGAGCCAGATAGACGGGGATGTACGAGAAAACTGTACGTGCCCTAGCATTTTTTGTATGTACAATTATGGTCAAGTCCAACCGATAAAGGAAGTCGTCTTTTTGCAACAAATTGATGTTCAACATGTGTCCCTGGATTGTACATATCTAATCTACACTTCTAATACATGAAGGAGTGAAATGGGTGCGTAAGAGCTTGGGGTTCGCAATGCTACGAGGTAGTGAAAGCACAAACACAAGAGATATCTAACCAATTGCCCTCCCCGATTGAGCAATAGCCTGCGCTTCTGCCTTGTCAATATCCGCCAGCTCTTTCTTGACCAAGTCCATGAGCTCAGTAGACAGCTTGTGCTTGACGTCCTTGGTGACAACATTGTCCTTGCCCCACGCAGCGATGACTTTGTCCCGCTTGGTCTTGACCTCCCTCACCCGCTCCCTCCACCGATGGCAAAGCTCCTTTAGCCTCTTGGCCACCTCCTCGGGTCGCTCCATCTCCAGCTTCAGAAGGAGCTCGAGCTCATTTTCAGGGTCGCGCTGAGGCTGCTGGTTGAACATGTTGGAGGCCTGGATGGCGCTCATGACGGGCTTGACGAAGCTCTTGTCATTGACGAGCAGAGAAATGGTCCTCCCGCCACGAGGGACAACCTGCGCGAGCTCGCGGAGAGGGAACGTCTCGCCGTCGCGCGAGGGCACGAGGAGGGCGCCAATGACGTCTGGGTTGGACTTGCCACCCTGGCGGAACTGTTTGAGCTCGCCCTTGTATCGCTCGGAGAGCTTGGAGAAACGTGATGTGACGTCGGCAAAGTTGTGGGGGTCGTCGGGGTTGGGGGACGGGTGGCCGGCGTCGTCGGCGGAGGAAGGCGACGTCGAGGACGAGGTCGGCGCGGCTTGGGATTTCGAGCCCTTGGAGGCGCCCTTGTCTTTTTCTTGAGGGCTAGAGGGGTCGCACTAAAGGCTCGGTTGGTAGGGAGCCGGGAGGTGCTGAGGGTATAGAGGGGGAAAGGCGTCGGGCGAGCGAGAAGGTGGCTACGTGGGTCGCGGCAAGTTAGGAAGTAGGTCGCAGAGCTATTGAAAAGGCATACCTTACCCCGGCATTGGCTGCCGAATAGAGGCAGAAGCCCTTAATCTAGGGAGGCCGGATCTTAATCTATTCATAGCTGGAGGAGCAAAGGCGCTTGGGGGGTAATAAGAGAACAAAAAGTTTTTTTCCAAACCAAGAGAAAGAGGTGCGCAACGAGAGGGTAGCTCGTGGTCGCTTTGCTGAGGTCGTATCATCTGGACCAAATCAATCTTGAGCAGCGCCTCTCTTTCTCTAAAAAAGTGCTGAGTCATCGCTCCTCCAGGTCCAGGAACTTACACATTGATCTGCTCGCTGCCCTTCAACCACGCCTTGGGTGAAAATGGGTTCTTCTTCGTCTCATAACATCTTGCGACTCATTCGAGGATTAATCCTCTCCAAGCCTCTCCAAGTTACTAGGTGGCCCTCGTGCTGGGGATCTGAAGGGCTATACTTGAGAAAGCGGAATCGAGTAAGCGCCACGGTGGAGATCATCCTCACTCTCAGCATCTCATTACTTCGTGAGGTGGGCAGGCTGTAAGATCTAATACAAGCCCAAAATGACGACTAGCTCGGTGGACATGACATAGGACGTGTTCGCGCCTCTAGAAAGGCCATTTAGATACTGGAGGAAGAAGTGAGCTGGTGCGGTGCAAGATACATCGTCGTATCCCAAGCACCCACAGCTCCACCTAACTCGCTAGTGGTGGGGAACGAAGGTGTCTATAGACCATTAGCACCTCGCTTTCCCATCGGTCGTGTGGCCCAGTGGTTAAGGCATGTGCTTTACAACAAGATCGCACAGGATCGCAGGTTCGATCCCTGCCACGATCAGATTTCTCTTTTGATTCTCCCATCAAAACCCGTTCTTTTTTTTTTTCCGGACCGTTACTTTTTTAGTCCTCGTTTCCCTGCCTTGCCTAATCTATAACGTTACCGGCGAGGTAAAACCCAAAGATATCTCGTGATTACATCCTGGGGGAGGGGAACCGGGTTACCTCTTTCTACTAACCTATGCAAAAATACCTCCTCTACTTAAACCAAACCTTTAACAAATAAGATCCATAATGACGCCAGTGTCTAGAGCATATCTCATCCGTAGAATACCTATTTATACCCTCCATACCTCCATTCCAACGCCCCCACTACAAGCTCGCCAGATTGCTCAAGAAACTCAACGGAGCCAGGGTCCGCTACCCCACTATACCTCGTCTCCTCCAAAGTGACAGCCACCACCTTGCCAGCATTGACCGTGACTCGCCAAATCTTGAGACGCTGGTCGTTGCTCACCGTCGCGACGAGGCCGTCGTGAATGCCAACTACACTGTTGATGGCTGCTGCATGCGCAGACTTCACTACGAACTTGTCGGTGATTGTAGCAGCGGACACATTCGAGACCTCGACTAGAGCAGCGGCCACGGAATTGTCATCACCCGTTGTTGTGAGAACGAACCCCCAGTCTCATTGTGTGCCAGCCGCCTTAAATCAAGGGCTTTGATGCTGCTTTGGTGTATCCTCGTTGCGCTCGTTAGATTGTAAGCCGAGCCGTCCAAGCTCCAGAGTGCAACGTGGCCATCAGTGGAGGCCGTAAGAATCTCGGTCGCGGCACCGCTAGCCCCTTGCCCGAGTTGGCGTACTTGCGTCAGGCATGCGCCGGTATACTCCCCACGGAGAGAAGCTCAAAGGTGCCCTGGCCATTGCTAGCCCGCGCAGGGGGCAATACCTGTAGGTTTTGAAGATGGAGTTAGAGAACGCCATGGTGATGAGGAGCCGTTTCTCGCCCTCTGCTGAAACATCAAAGTCCATTATCCTGAGGTCTTCGTCCGGCGACTTGTCTTGGAACACGGCCTCGCAGAACACGGCCAGGCCGGAGAAGCTGGCGTCCACCTCGCTGACCCTCCACACAAAGAAGTCTTCATTACCTCCGCTACTTAGGAGGTAGTCCTGCCCGCACCACTTTAGAGACTGGATGCCCGTCATGTGGACATTCATGGACGCGACCTCGCGCGGCTCTCTCGAGGTCGTCGGGCGCTGCCAGATTCGGATGACTGTATCCTCGGATCCGGTTGCGAAGTAGCTAGGCGAAGTCGAAGGAGTACGGCCCCTCAGATGGTGCGCCGGCTCCTGGGCCGCAACGGCTCGAATCTCCCGGCCGTGTGTGCCCCATTTCAGCGTGGAAGAGTTAGCTCCTTTCTGAGAGTGAATATACACCGTGGATGCCTTTGTAAACGCGAAGCGCAGGTGTCCGGCCATTGGGCTCTTCGTGTGGGCAAATGTCCTGTGAGCGCCACCGCAATCAACGCTGGCGATCATCTCCCGTTTAGACTCATTCCAAACGACGAAATTCTTGCTCCGGAAGCCGGAAAGAATGAGGTCTGCAGGCCCTTCAACACCGCCGCAGAACCAGGCATCTTCAATCTGGGGGCCAAATGGCGGAGAAGTCTCGTGTCGTAGCAAGCCCTGGGGGACTGCCCTTCCAATTTTTCGAGCTCGTAGATTCTGTACATTCCATCGCGGTTGGTCGTTAAGAACGACACGCTTTGTACATTACTTTGCCCGGGTAGAGGACAAATGGAGGTGATGGCATCGTCCGACCTCGGCCCAATCTGTGCGCTTCGGACATACTGGCCATCCTCCAGCTTGAAGACCTCCATGAAGCCGTTGCGAGATCCGATGACGAGGTAGCCGTGGAATTGCCCCGCCGATGTCAGCGCGAACCGCTCATCCACGCCTGGGAGAACAGTATCGGAAACTATTTCCCTCGTGCTTAGGTTTAGAGTGAATATTTGGATATCTCGGTTGTCGTACATGGTGACCAAGAAGGTAGCCATGTCTCCCGTATAGTCTAACGATATCAGGTTCAGGACCTTGCCACGAACGACTGCGAGACACGAAAGGGTATTTTCCGAGTATAGATACAAGTTCCTCGTTGTCATTCCCAGGATCGCCTTCCCTGGTGCTACCGGGGTGATCACAGAGATCGCTTTGAGGTCAGCCCGGTATTCGTCATCCGCAATATGTACTTCTGTCCAGGTAGCATCGGATCCTTGAAAAGACCCGACCAATAGCTTGCCAAACTTGGTGATGGCGAGCATGTCATCTGGAGTGATGAAGGCGTAGCGGTGCAGAAAGTCGTAGCGATTTCGACCCCTCTGTACCTTTTCCCCTTGCGCCGGCTCCAAGAACTCTAACGTCCCATGAGAGACCACGGTCATATTCGCCGTCCCTTCATCTCCTGACTCACCCTCTGGGAAGTGAGAGGAGTCGTCTGTTACGAGGGCCACCTTGCCGTCTGCGCCGCCCGTAGCGATTAGATTGGACCCATCATGGTTCAATGTCAAAGCAGAGGCCCAAAGGTGCTTCCCGTCGTGGTTGGAAAATATTCTCTTGTTGGTGAGCTTTCCAGTTTCGCCAGCTTCGCCGGGGCGGAAGTTGGAGAGATCAAGTTCCCACCTCTGCGCAGTCGAATCCTCTCCAAAAGAATAAAGCGTGAGCGCAGGCTGCGGTAGCGTCGCGCATTTAATAGGAGCAAACTTGACACTCCATATCCTGGATATATGACCCATAGCCACAGCAATCGGCTCCTTGGCACCCTTTCCCTCGTCTATCCCCCGAGCCGAACCCGGTTTCCCGCGCCTCGTGGAGCAGCATCTCCCTTGACCCATTATCGGATGCGTCGCCTCGAGAGAGGGAAACCCCACTAACATCCCAGACCCGGATCGTGCGGTCGTCGCTACAGCTAGCTAGGAGCCTGAGAGACTGTCCGTTGGGGAGGCACACCTCTTCAGAGAGCTGCACACCGAAAATGGAGCCCTCGTGGCCCGCGAGCACGTCGATGACTTGGCACGCCCGCCTCGCGCTGCCCGCGCCCCGACACGTCCACACGAGGATCTCGCCAAATACCGTGCCGCCCGCCACGAGCACGCAGTCCGGGGCTAACCACCTCGCATGCGCTGCGTACAGGATAGGGCGCGAAGGGGAGGCCGCTTCGCCAAACGAGATGATGGGGGCGGGAGCCCCGGGTGAGGGTCGGTCCAGGAGATCGGAAGGACCTCGTTATGTGCTGTGATGAGGACGGCAGAGTCCGGGTCGTTGGGCGAGACGGCACCGTCGTAGATCCAGTCTGACGCCAACCCCGTCCCGAAGCAGAGCTCAACGTCAGTCTCGGTAGCCAAGGCGACCTCAATCGCCTCGGTGCTACAAACCGCTACCCGCCGGGAGCCCCAGACGAGAACCCGCCCTGAGGTGACGCGGATGCCGTGGATTGGCTGCTCAACAAACACCCTAAACTCGCGGCACAGCGTTCTGCTCTCCACGTCGTAGATTTTGAGCTGAGTGTCCTCGCCTACTAGGAGGTAGGCTTGTGCCGGTGACCCCTCGTGAGTAGAGGTGGTGGTGGAGAGGAAGGCCAGCGCCGTCACGGGCGTTAATACGGCATCTCTCCGTGATCCCTGTGATGAATGTGACAAAATCAGCTCCGGTGTTCCTCGGAGTAGTCAAAGGGGGCGGTTTTTTTCTTTTTCTATTAGGTCCTCTAGAAGTGTCATAACTTACCGGACGAGGCGCCATGGCATCAGCGCACATCCGTTTGCACCCTGACTCACTTCAGCTCCAGCCCTTTCAAGCTTTTGGTTACACGCTCAGTATTGTGCGGCGTCCCCTGCGTAGTTTCGCAAGGTCAAATGGAGAAATGAGAGGCTCCAGGGTTAAGCTAAATTGTGTTCGCTGTGTGTGATGTCGTTGTCATACTTGATGACACCGCCCGCCAAGGTTAAGTCTTAGATGAAACAAATTTTTAGGTTGAGTGGAATAAATTTTTGAAATAGTCACTTTTTGTCGCTTGCGACTGATGTTTGTGTTCCACCTTCGCCGTCACAGCCCGATTACACGAGGCGAGCCCCAGCCTACCACCTTTGAAAATACGATAATTGAATCGGGAGCGAGAGGGCGGAAATTCACGAGTGTGCGAAGAAACACGAGACTTCTTTCCTATTAGGCCCCGGACGTCTGTTTTTACGCCTGTTTCTGACATCGGTTTAATGATATCTGAGAAATCACTATTTGATTGTAGTCAAATATCACTGTAGGACAAAGATTGGCTTGATTCGAAAATAAGAGACATTTCAACTATATTTGTTTCGTACCGTCATGACAGCTCTGAATAAGATATCATCAAGTTTATCTCCTGAACGCCGTTAAATGCTATAAAAAATGAGGGTTGGAAACCCCTCCTCCTTGCCGCTAAGATAGCCAAAAGAGCATCAAATATCAAGTTCCTGAATGACATTATTCCTCCAAGTAATGGGGAGGAAGACAAAAAATTAAAGAAAAAAGGAAAGAGTAAGCTAAAGACTTCTTCCCACCATCAAATACCGGCAACCCCCACTATAACGGGACCGCTGTCCTTTATCGGTGAGAGTAGGGCTCGTACGCGGTGTCACGTTGAGCGGCGTTAGGGTAGGTAGGGGCAGCGTAGCCAGTCTGCTGGTTGTAGTAGCTGTTCCTGTTGTTGTAGTCATGGGGGTCGTTGAGGGGCTGGTACGCGCCGGTGCCCATAGCCTTCTCGTTGTCACCGCTGCGCTTAGACCGGCGCTTGGTGTGATCAGGAGCACAGCAGCAGATGGTGAAGAGCCAGAAGAAACCGGCGCCGATGGCAAAGGCGGCGGCTGCCCAGACAAGAGCGAGGTAGGTAGTGTTGAACGAGGCATCAGCGCCATAGAGGACGCCAGTGCCCTTGACAGCTCCCACAATGATCACTGAAGTGGCGGTGGACAAGCTGGCGGCGGCGATGACGGCGACGCTCGAGATACCGGCGACGAGGAAAGTTAGGCAGGACGCAATGCGTGTGCAGCTAGCGAAGAGGCCGACAAGAAGCTGAGCAGCGAGGGCGGCGAAGGCGGCGATGAAGACAATCTGGGTCCAGCGAGACACGGTGATGAAGGCGTTAATGGCATGGCCAACTTCATCGGGAATCTCAATCTTTCCACCGGCAACCTGGTTGAACTTGTCGATGATGTTGGTGTTCAGGAAAGTGGCAGCCCAGTTGTACTTGGGCTTGGTGCACTTGCGGTTGGAGCCATCGGCACTGGTGGTGCAGAATCCCCACAGGCCGACGTTGTAGTGGTCAGCGAGGCCGAGGTCACCAGCGGTGATGTTGGTACCACTGCCGCTGGAGGCAGCCGACGCATTGTCTCCGTTGATTAGATCGGTGACGTCGTCGATAATGTTGCGGGCGGCAAGGTCACGGCTGTTGAGAAGCGATGTTATTACGTCTTGGCCGATCGAGAGTTCGCTAACATCGGCTTGGAACATGTAAAGCGCTTTGTTGGTGATGCCCGAAAGACCGGCTGCCAAGAGAAGGATCAAACTCAGGAGTGTGAGAATGAATGGCAAAGCCACGCAGAAGAAGCGACCGATGTTGGCCATTGTGATGGGATGTTGTGTTAGGCGTTTGTTTGTGGGTTCGTTGTTCTCGCAATCGGATGCGTAATGGTCGGAGGGAGATAGACGCAAAGTTCTGTGGGGGAAAGTGCTTGGTTCTAAAGCGGGGAAACCAAGAGAGCGCCGAACGTAACCAAGGGGTATCGAAAGGGTTTGTCGACTGAATAAATATGAGTGTTGGATTTAAGTCGCCAACAGAATGGAAGAGAATCTGGAGGAGGAAAACGAAAGGATGATGGAGGCAGAATGAAGTCGGATGTTGGCAGGACAGCGTGTATTTGTGTGTTTCGGCCTCAAGAGAGGAGGCTGGCCAGAAGAGGAGCAATGGAGCGATCACCTCAGCCAGGTCTTGATCTACAGGTACCGTATACAATTGATTGTTGGTTAATATGGTAGTATCTTATGTATTGAATACTTCACAGGCGGAGTCTGGCCCGCCAAGAAAGAGGCGAAGAAGGGGCAAAGGGGAGACCACCGGGCAGGAACTGCGCGGAGTGGAGCTATGGGATTGGGGCTGACGTCGGCTGCCTGTCTGCTATTGAGCGTCTCCCGATGCTCAGCCCCCCAATTTAAGCCCATCGCACATGGCCGTTTAGTCTGAGACGAGACAGGGGGAACCACAGTGTCCGTGGAAGGAGAGGCCCGGTTGAATTTCCCACCGTCTCCTCAGCTTCATGGGGGCAATAGGGCTGTGCAAGCCACCCAACCGACACGGTCTGGCCCACTGCTCCTCTGGGCCACCATCCATCATTCACCCATTCATTCTTTCGTCACAGGCTTAGACATTGTTGGTGATCGGCCTGCCGTGGTGCACAGAACTATCCATGTCAAGATCAAGATCCACAGAAGAACCTCTCAATTTTTTCTCTTCCCTCACCGCGGAGAATTCAAGTAAGAGGCGGGGAATATTCGACTAGGCCTGGCCCGACCACTTGGGAGGATGCCAACTCCGTTTCGCGTTCCAACGTCCTTGGCTTTGCTCTGCCGCGTGGGTTTAGCGGCCCACAGCCCGATACTCGGAATGGTGGGATAGTATCAGATCCTTTCAGCGCTTTTTCGGCAAGAGGAGACTTTGAAAGAGAAAAAAGACTAGGGGAAGAACAAGGGAGAAAACCGCTCATTGGTCTCGCAATCCTACGCGCGTTTTTTTGCCCAAAATCGGATGGGACACGGATTTCTGGCTTGGGCCTCGACTCGGAAGTTCATCGAGCCATTCCTAGCAGCCAAGGGAGCCCTGAAATGTTCCTCTTACTCTTGAAGTTATCATTTCTCCAATACCTGTAGTTTTTAATTCGTTTCAACCCAATGCGCGCAATATCAAGCTTCAATGTTGCCTTGCGCTACCGAGGTCTAATGCAGCAACATCTGAGAAAGTTAGGTAGTGAAGACATTGGGGTTGGGTCTTTCTTGGCTTCATGCGCGGAAGGGATTGCCGTGCGAGGGCTGAAAGGAAACAGAGGCAGCGATAGAAGAAGCAGGAGTCGTGATGCGCTCAAGAAAGAGGAAAAGGGAGTGGGCCAAAAATTTCCATCGCATCAGCCTTGCCTTCGCGAGAACCGGCCGACATTGATGCCCATACAAGATCTCCGTCTTGCCATTGATTCGTGTTGCATGTGGCTGAAGCACTCGCATTACCATTTTACGAATCGCTACTCTTCCGTGAGACCGGTGCCCAAGCCCACGTGTGGAGATGACGCGTAGTGCTGCCGACAAAGCCTGGATGGGGACTGTGTCGGCGGGAAACACTCAATTCGGTCACGAAGCAGTCCCCTCCCCCATCATCAACACAGGCTTACTTCACCTCAGTGCCCTCTTCAGCTGTCTTGGGTTCATGTTGGCGATTGGCGAGTTCGATCACCGTTGTGGTCCGGCGCAGAGGATACCATACCTGGCAAGACGGGCTGGTGCCACTCGTAAGAGGGTGAACAAGCCACTTGAGGTCGGCGCAGTGGTGGCCAATAGATTGAATGCATCCATCCGTCCATTTGGTTTTTGTGGTCAAAAGACCCCGAAAAGGTTTATCTTTCTGTCAATTTAGGCCTAAATATAGCAACAAAACATCAATGGCGACACACCAACCCGGACGGAACTAGGTGCACAGCCACCGTTCCCCTGCCAATCCCTTCTCGCGCTGCGCACCCCAGCGACAAGGACATTTTGATCCATCTTTCACTGGGTTTACCCGGCAAAGCGCCTTACCGTCTCTGGGAGTGACATGCTGCTTATTCTTCGGGACAAACACATCCATAACCTACGACGTATTATACGCAAGCTCACCAATGTTACTTCGTCCATGCCAACGGCCTGTTTATGGTCTGTTGTCTCGCCTGCTGAGTTTCGAGAACACCACCCCCATCCACTCATCATCAACAACCCCCAAGCCACATCGGCGCTCCCCGCTGAGCCACACCACTTTGGGCTGTCCCCGTTACTGGGGAGCAGATTATTACAGGGAGGCTCACACGCTCGTCACTACCGAGGTGGATAGAGTGGTAACCAGGGTCACCGTAGCCGCATGGACGTCTTCTAGAATGAAACCAAGAAATGGCGATCTAAAAGAGATAGGGTTACCGACGCTTGAGGCTCAAGTATTATCAGGGGCTCGGGACAAAAAAAACAGACCGGACCAACTTCAAAGTGTTGCGCAAGGAAGCTTACGCACTGCAAGACGTACACATCCCCAAGTATCACCGAAGATCCTCGAAATGTGGGTGTGCCGAGTGCCCTAAACCTATCCCAGCCGCGGATATATACTGGCCCATCGAGGAAGATGTTCGGTCTGGCCTTGACCTTGTCCCCGCATCTCTCCTAATAAACTGGGGAGAATTCCAGCAGCGGATTTATGAACGATTCTCCATAGACGCTGGCAATTTGATGCTATCTCCGATAAAGGGAGTGGGCCCTCTACGTCATGTCCCTTGTCCACCGAAAACACCATTTCTACGGTGGCTCCTGTTCCAAAGAGGGTTGGGGGCATTGGCAGTCGTGCACACAACAAGCAAACAAGCCAACATAAACTAGGCCCTGCCTTGATATCCACGAGGAAATGTCGATGCACACAGACATTGCCGTCGACCTAAATCGGCGGAAGCCACTCGAGGATCTTGACTTGAACCGACAAATCATCCTCCCGACGCATCCTTGGCGCAGATTCACCTGCGTCTCCGAGGCCAAGTGCCTTATCTGGAGGATAAAGGCGAGGCCAAATTCTATCACTTAAAGCGAGCTGATGAGCGTTGTCAGGCATGTGACACATCGTGGTGTTGTGTGCTGATGCGGCACGGCACGAGCTACATATGCGTCCGGGCCACGGTATGGGAGAAACAAGGCAATGTTTGGACCAGCGTAAAGTTTCCTTATCCTTCACCGAAGGGGTGAACGTGTTCATCCTGCTCGTCTCGGGATGCAGCTCCCAGAGAAGCCAGATGAAGGACTCAGTACGAACAAGATCGCCCAAAAAGCGGCGTTGAAAAAGAACCCCTTTAGAAGCGCGGGAGGGAAAGCAAGAATGTGAAGAGGCCTCTTGAAAGAATTTTATGAACAAAAGAAGCAAAAGGGTGAAACAAAAGCTCCTTCGAATGGCGTCATCATCATTTTGATTTTGAGACGGTGACGCACCCTCCCCGCCAGCTGGCCCACACGACTTGAGTCTTCTGCACTTGACCGTTCGTGTTGGGGGTCGGCGGGCATGAGGGCACAACTCCAGAAGCCACGGCTGGCGGCGAAACAGAAAAAGGAAAACCCGCCCCCCAAAGAATCAATGAGCTTGACAGCGAGGCCGACAGGGGTGACAGGGGATCTCTCTGAGATGCTGGTTGCGGGAAGAGAAACCGATGAGGAAGATTCATCACATGAACAAACCACAGCCGGGGTTCGAGGAGGGATGGGGTTCACCGCTCAGCAGCCCCTGCTCAGTCGGCATTCTCCTGCTTGCGGAGGGGTCACTTCTGTTTGCTCAAAGAGCGAAGACATCATAATCCCTGTGAAGCCTTCGCGCTTGAGAGTGCGAGTGCGGCAGATCTCGATGCAGGACGTCCGCGCCGGCCACCTGCCGCTAGCTACTTCCTTCCAGATCAATTCGATGTCCAGCCTGAACCACATCCCTCTGGAGCCTCGCGTCCTGCTCACGGGTTGAGAGTGACAGTAATTTCCCTTTGATGAATCTGGAAACTGTCGCATTCAGCCTCGGACGACGGGAAGGATCTTTGGAGAAAGAAAGAAAAAAATTTCTGCGCCATGGATGGTCACTGTCCTAGCCAATCATAGCAACTTTATCCATCTCGTCGCATCGTCGCATCGTCGCATCGTCGCATCAAGGGATCACGGTGATGGTCGGACGTATCCCCGGAGTAGGGTCCGACAGCTGCAAACACTTTCCTTCCGGGGTAGCTCTAACCGAGTCGAACTTGATGAGCGCGAGGCCGTGGCAGCGATCAATAACACGATCTCACCCAGCGCTATGGATCCAATCAACCTCGCTGCTCAGTTTCTAACATATTTTCCGCCATCAAGAAACCCCCGCCTGCGGGTCGAAGAACCTTGATCTCTTTTCCGCGCTAATATCTTTGAGGCGATTTTTGAGCTAGTAAGACCTGCTTGAAACGCTTGGGCTACGCCTGCCGCCCGGGTCGGTCGGCGAGACTTTCCCAAGCGAACGGCCTTTTCTCTCGACACACTCAACGAGTGAAGGTGCGAAGGTGGGTGGAAACAAAGAGAGGGGGTAGACAGGAGATAACGGGTAAGAATTGGCAACGCTGTCCGTGCATTCTCTTCGGTCGAGACTTTCTCTTGGCCGGTCTCATTGGTCTATCACATCTTTTTTGAGGCCCTCTCGTGCTGCGGGTGATGTTGTATCTGGATGTTGTATCCAGTCAAGTCAACCATTGAAGGTGCTTGCCCCCTCCAGACGCAACGCTATGCCGGCTTCAATCTTTCGTTCTTGTGAGTGTGACGGAGCAACTGGCATCGGTATATGGAGTAGTAGGTAGAATAATACTGGTGGGCATCAATTGATTATGTTGCTAAATCAACACCTTCGAGGCGCTGGCCCGAGAACGCGATGGAAGGTTTATGAGGCTTCTTCAATTGCTCGAGGTCGGTTCAAATTCAAATTCTATGCATGTGGTAGGAAGCACATTGTTGAGCTGGGTACTCGCTTTGGAGCCCCGCCCTCAATTGGCCGGGGCCAAGCGACTATCAGAGGTCTTGTGGAGCTGCCGTCCCGGCCATGTTCGATCTAACCCGCCGCCTGGTGTATGCTATTCTAAGGAGGAGGTGTCGTGACCTATGTAGTTTAGCAATGCCTGATCGACAGCTGAGCTCGTGCGTCGAAGGCTGTCTGTTCTTCATCACAACAAGGGATGAGAGGAGTCAGATGGGGAAACCGGAGAAACCTCTCTTTTCAAAAATATAGGACCTCTGGTTCCCTTCTTTTCATTTTTTTCCTACACGTACCGCTTTCTTTTCAGGCCTCCTTATCCCGTGCCCGGAGGGTGGAGGTCTGCGGCCAAACGCCCTCGAAGACAGCTCCGACATTTTGGGCTTGGCTTGTGATGTCTAACCACTGTGATGCCCTGCCCTTCTCGCATGCCCGGTGGGTACATGGAAACTAGTGAAATCTCACGCATGCATGTGCATGTACGGTACATGTTAGAGACTTGGAGGCGGAGCTGACTGGCCCAGAACTCGGTCGTTACTTTTCTTTTTCCACTTATGTGACCTGCAATAGTCGGTCTTTCTAGCCAAACCAAGGCGAGAATGAGAAGAGGAACGGTAGGCCATGGAGAAAAAAAGAACGAGAGGATTCGCCGGGCGGCCTGCAGCCCGCTTTCGAGGATAGCTTCTAGTATCTTGGCGTCCCAATGGCAAGATCATGTTCCTTTGGTGCAACACTCTGGAATAGGATTGGGCAGGAGCCCATCTCCAAAACCAACTTAAAGTGTTCGATTGCTATCCATTAGGGGTGGCCATATGAGGAATGGGGGCGGAAGAAAAGGGAAAAACAAAATGTACAGCTTTATTTGGTTGGTCCTTCTTTTCATTCTCATCGGGATCGAAATGCTGTTGAGACCATGTGAACTTTTGGTGACGTCTTTAAAAATCATCCCCACCCATTTTCTTTCTATACCTTTGGTCCTTCTTTCCTCTTCTTCAAACCAGAGTCCATCTGTGCCATGACCAACTGACAAAGCACTGAATCAATTTGAATCCACTGTGCACATTAATAGTTCCTTCTCCACCCTCGTTTCAACTGATTGATAGTTGATCCATCCTGATACACTGCCAATAGGATATTTGTGGGATTCCACTTGAACCCAGTCCACGCCCACGGCCCAAGTAAACAACCTATCCCAAAGCTCAAGCTGTTATTGTCCTTCTCCTTCTTCCTATTTCTCGTCTTCTATATATTCCAAAGGAAACGAAGCGCACGAGAAAGACCAGCCGTTCACCGCTCTCTCGTTCTCCTCTGCAACCATCAATCCAAGACCTAAGGCAGCCGACTCGCTAGACCTTCCCTCACCCTTGCAACTCGTTGTTTTGCGCAGAATTAGCTCACCCGCCCTTGAGGGCCACCCTTGACGTCGCTCAACAGCACTAGAACCCAGCCACCTACTTGTAGTTGTCGCCTCCCGCTCAACATTGATGCCAGCTTTAGCTAGCTAGTGCTACTCATCAGGCAGTTCTCGCCCCTCGACCTCCAGGCCGCCAACCACACCCCCACTGCCTTCGGGGACACAATTGAAATTTCACGGCATAAATTGCAGCCATCAAGTTCAGCCAAAGGAGAGAGAGAGAAGGAAAAGGAAAGAAAGAAAGAAAACAAACCACCAGGGCAGGTAAACAACGTAATAAAACACAAGCCCGCGGGGTAAGGCGCATCACAGACAAGCTCGAGGATGCACACCCCCATTGCTGCAAAGTGAACTTCCTCCAAGACACTATTTAAGCCTGCTCTGGCCGATCGTTCCGGTCCGCCGCCATCTCGACCGCTATCTCCGTTCTCGCCCATCTTCGCCACTTGTCGACCTGCCGACCCGCTAAAAACCGATCCAAAATCAATCGCCGGAAGCTACAATTTCCTCCAGAGGCCCTAGGCCCTTCATGCTGCACGTTCATTGTACTAGAAACAGTTCTTACACCCACTGTACCAGTCGAGTGCTCGAGCTCCCCCTTCCCACCGGCCCCGAAACCTGACAAAAATTGCCTATCAAAGTACCCCACACTCCCTCGCTCGAAGTGATCAAACCATGTCCTAGGCCTCTTGGCCTTCTTAACCCCAACAACAGCTCACCCCCTTCCTTCGTCATCGCCACCTGTTCCTGGAACCGACCTTTTCTTTTTTCCTTTTCTTCATTTTCCTCCACCTCTCCCGGCCACTTTTCCCCGCCCTTGAAGGAGACAACCCGTGTTGACGAATTCATCGAATACCATATTACCGTGTCGGCACCTTTGTTGCGAACCCGCTTGTTTTTTTCTTCCCTCTTTCTCTTCTCCCTCCCGTGTCACTCCAGCCGAAACGGGACCTCGTCAGATACATCCAGAACCTCCTCGCAAAAAATACTTCAGTGACAATCTTAGTCATACCTATACCGAAACGGCGATTTGGACCGGTCCTGACCTGCTCTTCCTCCCCTCCATTGTCGTCGCCCATCTTCTTCGTCCTCCCTAACTAAACACTCGACTTGGATCCATTCACGCGGCTGTCGATTTTACTCCCCTCTTAACCGCCCTCGTTTCCCCCAACTGTCTTGTCTTTCCACCCCTTTCCCAAATTCAGAGTTCCTCAACCTCGCCCCCATTTTGACGGTGGCGAATCGGCCCCATCAGCGACTCAGGAGATAAGGACAAACTTGCGCCGTACGCCCTGCCTCATACGCACATTGCCGAATGCCCGATCAATAAATCCCTAGGCTGGCAGAATCATCCTAAGCTTACGCGATGGGAAACACCAACTCCAAAGATGGTGGATCCGGCTCTAAGGGTTCCGTCCCGACCGATTCTTCTGGACCCCCATGATAAGGTCCGACACCAAAGAGTCTACGCGATCCTTCAAAAACTCTATACGTTCTAGGATTCCCGGGTCCTCCAAAACTGACAGTCCTCGGTCATCTACACTCTTCACCAACGGGGATGCCTCCAATGATAAGGGTGACACCGCCTCTATCAAATCTGGCAAGAGTGGCCGGTCAGCGAATTCCCGACAGAGTCGGAGCGAGGTCACCTCCCCGCTGACTCCTGAACCCTCTTCCCCGGATGCGCCTTCCATCCCTGAAAACGAGGTACCGAGCTCTCCGGTCGTCGGTAGCTCCATCAATGCTGGCCATAAAGATGTCGACAGTGCCAAGGCATCCGGCGAGGTTGGAAACGTGTCCGACAAGCCGCTCACAGAGACCAAGTCCGGCCTCCACAGTTCCCTCCACCAACCCGGCAAGCCTATTCTTGTGAAGCGCGATGTCCCCGTCAACGTGATTAAGGATGGCGGGGCAGCGAAGCCTGACGAGAACACCAATGTGTCCATGAGTGAAATCAAGGACATCGATTTGGACGACTTTATCAAGCGCCTTTTAGATGCCGGGTATACTGGAAAGGTTACCAAGAGCGTCTGCTTGAAGAACGCCGAGATAGTCGCCATCTGCCAGAGGGCCCGCGAGGTATTCTTATCCCAGCCCGCCCTGCTGGAGCTGGACGCGCCCGTGAAAATCGTTGGCGACGTCCACGGCCAATACACTGACCTGATCCGCCTCTTTGAGATGTGTGGCTTCCCCCTTCCTCCAACTATCTCTTGCTCGGCGATTACGTTGATCGCGGCAAGCAGTCTCTTGAAACCATCCTCCTTCTTCTCTGTTACAAGCTCAAATACCCCGAGAATTTTTCCTCCTGCGGGGCAATCACGAATGCGCGAATGTTACCCGAGTATACGGCTTCTACGACGAATGTAAGCGTCGCTGCAATGTCAAAATCTGGAAGACCTTTGTTGATTGCTTCAATACGCTCCCCATCGCCGCCATTGTTGCCAATAAAATCTTTTGCGTCCATGGAGGACTTTCGCCTGCTCTATCCCATATGGATGACATTCGCAACATTGCCCGTCCCACCGATGTTCCTGAGTACGGCCTTTTGAACGATCTCTTATGGGCTGACCCTGCCGAGATGGACCAAGATTGGGAGGCAAATGAAAGAGGCGTCAGTTACTGTTTCGGAAAGAGGGTGATTACCCAGTTCCTTGCAGATCACGATTTCGATCTCATTTGCCGAGCCCATATGGTGGTGGAGGATGGCTACGAGTTTTTCAACGACCGAGTCTTGGTCACCGTCTTCAGCGCCCCAAACGTAAGTCCCTTGGCAGCCCTTTTTCTCGTTTTCTTGCAGCATGAATACCTAACACGTGGGTCTCATCCTTTAGTACTGCGGGGAATTTGACAACTGGGGCGCCGTCATGTCAGTATCTGCGGAGCTGCTCTGCAGCTTTGAACTATTGAAACCACTAGATTCTACGGCTCTCAAGAGTCACATCAAGAAGAGTCGAAACAAGAGACAGACCATGCTCAACAGTCCGGTATGGTACCCCTTACAGCCTACTAACGCTTTCCTTGACCACATATTTCGTATGCTAACTTTGAGGATAGCCCGCTAGTGTCCAACCACAGAGCGTTTGATGACTTTAACTTTGAAGTCGGTTTAAACTTGGTTTAGATCATGAGACAAAACTCACCCTCACCCTCTTCTCTCTCTTTTTGCTCTCTCCTAGACGATGCCTTGGCAAGGACACTTGGTGTTTTGGAAACTGCGCCTCCAATACTTCCTAACTGTTTGGGGCAAATGCCCCTCGGCACGTCAAACACATTGACTGTTGCTACCATACCGATCCCAGGCCCCCGGCCAAAAGAGGGTAAAGGCGACGCGCGATACTAGCATGCGTGGCTCGTTGTCGGCGACAAGGCGCCCACTACAACCAGCCGGTCCAACACTAGCTGGCGAAAAAAACATATAGAAAAGCCGAGTGGGGGGCTCTGACAAGGCGGGTGCCATAAGTATGACCCTGTCCTAGGATCAAACAAACAAGCTGACCTGGAGAAGGGTAGATGTAAGTGTGCATTACCCTTTGAAGTGGCCTTTGACGCCAACCTCCATCATGTCATCGTCAAAGTGCTTGATCGTTGATATGGGTGAGGCTAATGAGCCTATGCGGTTTGTCTTGACCAGCCCGTTCTCCTTTCCTCTAGTGTCAAGGCCTGGCTTGCTATGACATTTGGCACTAGAACTCCCCGAGAGCACAGAAATCTCAAGAACAAGGGATGTCGCATTCCAGGGCTGGCTAGAAATAGCACTTGTGGCTTACCATCTGTAACATTACTTGGCAACGGTGTCGTCGTTTCAGGAGCCTGGGCTCCCTCCCTTTATCCACGTTTTGCGCCCCCTCCCTTCCTCTTTGTTTCTACGGATTATAAGTTCTGGCTCCTTTTTTGTTTTTAACGGGCATCTCACATTATTGTTTCGATCCTCATCCGCCGTTTCGCGTCTACGCTTTGTCACCATGTCATGGTGATTTGTTTCTTTCCCTTCTCCTGTCAAAGTGTTTTGCTCCAGGACCTGCTTTTTACGCCCTTTGGAGAAGAAGATATAGCTCTAGGCACCCGCTGTGCCATCACATTATACCGCACAGGATTTGAATTTAATGGAACCACCACTTATCCAGATGAGAAGAATCCACCGTAACAGAAGGACAATGTTGTGTGTCTTGCCCTGCAGACTGGTGAAAGAAGCACGTAGTGTCGTATCGTAATCCGTGGGCTGCCCGAGTTGAATCCGGGAGTGTGAGCGGGGAGTATGGGGGCGGTTATGCCGGGTAGCTATTTGCAGAGAGACAATGGGGGTGTGTAAAGTTCGAGACCTCTCCAAGGGTTCTGCTCGTGGCGTCTCACCCTCAATGCTTGGCAATGAGAATGGAATGTGGAAAATTATACCTCGGTGCGGATCATATTCTGCCAAGTGTACTCTTTTATTTAGCTGTTTGTTACTTTTTCCCACCTTCCCCTCGTTTCTCTATACCTATCCTCTTCTTCGTGGCGTGGAAGATGGATTAATGATAGTGTCATGTACAAACGCGTCACGTTATGTATGTCTCGGTCCGAAAGCACATATGTCCCCTCAGCCAGGTGTTCTTTCTGTCCCTTGACATCACGTCCTTACTCATGTCCCGACTCTCGATGACCCGCCGCCATCATCGGCTCAGCGGTGGGGTGTAGTCTTTCGGATCCGTCCGCCTGATGCCGCCACCAAACCAGCTTACCCTTCGACAGTCTCGTACGAGTTTGACTTGTGCTTTGGCTCGAACTTGAAGTTTGGAGGCGTTTTGCCAAGGTAATGTTCCCTGCGGGGAGTGTTAGCAAAAAGCTCTCGAGGGATGGGGGAAAAAAGCAATGGCGCGGAGGTGATAAAGCAAGGGAGGGTGAGGAAAAGGGGAAGAGCTCACGAAATTTTGATCCAATCCTTGTAATTCTTGCTTGCCAGCTTTGTCTCAAAGTCGTCTCTCCCCACATAGGCGGCAGGGCGATCGTTCATATCGGGGGAAGATATTCGAGAAGACCGATGGGGACGTAGCGGTGAGCAAAGCTGAGCCACTCCAGAAGGAAGCGTCGCGTGTAGCCGACGCCGATGTCGTCAGATCCCCAGGCTTCAAGGCCATAATCGACGTATTTCTTAACGTACTCGAGACGCTCGGCGCTCGACTTGTCGAGGTACTGCCGGGCCTTGATCTCTTCAAAGATCCAGGGCTTGATCAGGCACCGCGGCCAATCATTATGGTGTCGACACCGGACTTTTCAACGTTGCTGTAGTACTCGTGATGAGAGTAGCAGTCTCCATTCCCGAGGAAGTACATCTTCCCACCCTTGGAGTTGGGGAGGGTGCGGGCGTCGGGTTCGGCCGAGGTGTCAGCATCGAGGTCAACCTGGGCGTTGTAGGTTTTGACGAGTGTGGCACATTCGGCGATGTAGGACCAGTCAGCCTTCTTGGTGTATCGTTGTTCGCGACTGCGTCCGTGGAGCGTCACGGCGGCGCAACCAGGAGCGCCAAGGCGATCGCGGTGCTCCCGGGCCCCAAAAGCCAGGTTTCCAATAATGGTGGAGGCAACGGGGCGGCTGGACTGTACCCCGGTCCGCAACTTAACCGTGATCGGGATCTCGCCCGAGACGGCATTCATACCACGAACCATTCTCTCGAGTTTACTCTTGGAGTCGAGGATTCCGGCTCCAGCTCCAGCCTTGTAAACCATATCGATAGGGCAGCCACAGTTGAGATCAATGACCCGGAGGCTAGGACAGTATCGGTTCAGGATGTTGGCAGCCCGAGTAACCATCCTATGGGAATGGCCCGAGATTTGCGCGCCGAACCTCATGTCCCGGGAGTTATCGTAACCTTGGACGATGGGCGAGGCCGTAGGGTTCATATTGGGGGCTCAAGTTCAGAATCATGGGCTTTCATCAAAGTCCAGTCAGCCTTCTGACCTTGCAGGAGGGGACCAGACATAGCCATCTCCGAATAGGTGATCTCGCAGCCCAGCTCAACACAGAGGCGGCGGAAGGGAAGGTTCCCCTGGGTTGTTAAGGGAGCCAAGGCGGGTGTCTCGGGACCAAAATACAATCGCCTCTTCTCAGAAGGCAAGAAAGGAGGATCCACAAACTGGGCACGGAGTTCGTCCAATTCCGTGGCAGCCTTCATGCGGTGCTGATTGTGGAGCTTGTCCACGATCTTGGCTTCGTGGTCGAGCCAGTTGCAAAATTGGTCCGCCTCCTTGAAATCGACACGCCTACGTGAGAGCGCAATCTTGGAGCCCTTATCAACGATATTCTTGGCCGTGGAGGGAGGAGGGTCATATCGCTCCAAGATGGGTGCGTTGACTGAAACGCTTGAACCACCCTCCTCGGAGGTGGCCGCTTTTTCTCGGTTAGGACCATTTCCTGCCGGCCATCGGGATGTTCATAGGTCATCATGTGGTGTTCGGCAAAGCGACATTTGAAGCCAGCGGGGCAGCGGCCGAGAACTTCGTATAGGGGGCAGGTCCCCGTTTCCGGGCTGGTGTCTTTGGGGCGAGCCTCCAGATACTCGCGCAGGTTGTGGCAGAGCCTACACTTGTCTCCGAATTGACAGTTATCGGGGGAGAACTCGGGGGCCATGGCCCTGCTGGCGCAGAGCTGGATAGATTCCTCGAATCTGCCGTATGAACGGCCGACGTTCTGACCACGCTCTTTCTTGCCCTTACCTCGTGAATCAGGCACACTCGCAGAAGCTGGGGCGTTGGCGGTAGGCGCTACACGTCCATCCTCCTCGCCGGTAGCAGATTCACTGTCGGCAGAGGTCAGGGCAGCGGCCTGGCTGAGCTCCTGCTTTTTGACAAGATACCTATCAGTGACTCTCGTTAGCGCCGTGACTTACAATAGCTGGGGGTATCGGGATGACCATACTCTTGTTTAATGGGAGCAACCCCGGACCTTCTGGCCGAGGAGTTAGTGCCATTCTCACCGTTGGATGTAGGCGGGTTGCCGTCCCGGGCAGGTTCAGAAGCGGCAGTGGTGATGGAAGGCAGATCGGTGGGCGCCGCATCAGGCGCGTTATCGGGCGCTGTCTTAAGGCGCTTTGAGGGACGTTCATCAGGGGCACCGTCAGAACCGGTAGAGGTGGTTTGATTCATGGCCAAGGCTTCTGGTAGGGCTGGTTGCTGAGCACTCTCCAGCGGCTCAGGGTGCTCGGCCATGGTGAAGGGCTTAGGTTATACCTAAGGGCAGGATGGGTAGGATGACAAGTAGGTGAGCTTATGTCGAAGGGGCAAGTGAGATTGGGTGGCAATATGAAAGGGAGAGGCTAGATGCTATGTCTATCAATAACACATGGGTGAGTGATGATGAAGCTGTGTTGGTTTGTGTTGATGTGAATCAGCGCATGAACAATGAACACTAGAACAAGGAGTGGATGGTGATTTTATAATTGAATAGGAACAGGTTTACGGCCTTGTCTCTTCTTGCCCAAGGCTATGGAGAATCGTAGCTTCCTTGTGAGCAGTAGTTAAAGAAAAAAACCGAAAAAAGCGCCTCGAAGCTCACTCTCGCTGTGAGCCGGTGTCTCGGTTCCGATCTAGTTCGATGGTGGGGTCTACAGCGGCTGTTGTCAGCCGACACACCCAAGTTTCCAGCCAGTTGTGGTGGCCCGATTGGGGGCTTGCGGCAGATGGAGATGTCTCAGCTCTCAAACTCCCCTGCACTTGTGTTCCTGATGGCTGTCGTTGCTTCCCTTTGAGAGGATAGTTTTCGAGCCTTGAAGACTCTAAATACTAGATGAATTTATAAGCGTAGATTGCGGTGCAACGCAAAGGCGAGATTCGCGGGTGAGAAACCGTACTCAGTTCAGCAAGCCGCTTCTCTGATCGCAGCATTCAAGGTTCTGGTCAGAGGCACCCATTGCTTGCTTCAAGCCACTGTCGTGCTGGCTCTGCTCTGTGCCCTGGTCCCGCCCCCACCAAGCGGGCAACTCGCACCTCTTCCGCGGGGTCACTCCCGGTCCTCAATCATCCAAGCGATGAGGCGTGATTGATGGTCCGTTCCACAAGGCATAATTCCTCATGCCAGACCCAGTCAAACAAATCTCACCCTGGTGTAATTTCCCCTCAAACCCTCCTGACCGCGATTCCTAGCAGTCGAGTGGCCAGCGAGAGAAGGACAGTTTAATTCAATTTCCCCAATTCGACGACGACTGCTTGGATAGAAAACATCGACAATTCCAGCACCCGAGCTTGATCTAAACAGCATTGTGGGGAAAGCGCTCCTCTTCGCTGCGTGCCCCTCGGCTCCTTTTTTTGCCCCATCGTGTGATCACCGACAGCTTCTTGCTACTGGTCCCGTCCTCAACTCCAACTACATTCCCCTTCGGGCAATGGTCGTCGCGAGACGCCAAGATGGGTGACTCGGCCAGGCAAGCCGGCGACCCGCCTCCGAGAGCAGCTCCCCAAACATCTCGCATCGTTCGCGCTCAAAAATCGTCGCGAGCTCTCCCACTGAACCCCAGCACGACCAATCCGACTCGGACGAGAGCGAAGACCCTCCCGAACGTGCCCCTGCCATCCCCGCAGCCATACCCTGGCCACCTAGCCTCCCAGCAGCGCCGGAAGGCCTCCGAACTCTCTATAAGGCAGCGCTCGCAGTCTGCCGCGGCTTCCACTTCCGTGCCGCCCCTCCTACGAGAACCCCGCTCCCGCGAGCACCCTGTCGAGGCCGCCACAGGCCGCCATCAGCAATCCCACAGACAGCGCTGATGACGCGAAACCCGCCGAAAGAGCGCCCAGAAAGCCTGCTCAGCAGCGATTGACCTCGGCGATCGCTGGCCGTGCCGGGCCTCCTCAGCAGCAGCCCTCGTCCCGCAACCTCCCACGACAACAGCGCAACAACTACACCGCCTTCCCCGCTGATCAACCCGAGGACCGCCCCAGATGTGCCCCCGCGCCGGCCTCGGGTATGTACTGGTCCAAGGCACCCGTTTCCGGAATCGCGCACCCTTCTCTCCGAGCCCACACCACGACTCTTGTTGGTTCCAACATTTTCGTCTTCGGAGGCTGTGACTCCAAAGCCTGCTTCAAGGACTTGTACGTCTTTGACGCCGACTCTTTCCATTGGTCTCGCCCCTACGTCGCTGGGGACATCCCGCTTCCCCTTCGTGCCATGACATGTACCGCTGTCGGCAAGAAACTAGTCGTCTTCGGCGGAGGTGATGGCCCGGCATATTATAACGATGTGTATGTCCTAGACACCGTCAACTTCAAATGGAGCAAGCCTCGCATAGTTGGCGACAGGGTCCCGTCCAAGCGGCGCGCGCATACGGCCTGCCTCCACAAGAACGGCATCTATGTTTTTGGCGGCGGCGACGGCGTGCGGGCCCTCAACGACATTTGGCGTCTTGACGTCAGTGATATGAGCAAGATGTCCTGGAAACTTGTGTCCAGCCCTGATAAACCATCAAACAACGGCGGTAGGGATGCGCGCCCAAAGGCGCGCGGCTACCACACCGCCAACATGGCTGACGGAAAGCTCATAATATTCGGTGGCTCGGACGGCGGCGAATGCTTCAACGACGTGTGGGCTTACGATATTGAGAAGCACGTGTGGAAAGCGGTCAACATCCCCGTCACCTTTCGTCGCCTCTCCCACACATCCACCATTGTGGGATCCTACCTCTTCGTCGTAGGCGGCCACGACGGCAACGAGTACTCTAATGAGGTCCTTCTCCTAAACCTCGTTACGATGACCTGGGACACGCGCAAAATTTACGGCCTACCCCCAAGCGGACGGGGTTACCATGGCACCGTGCTCTACGACAGTCGACTCTTCATCATCGGGGGTTTGACGGCAGTGAAGTGTTTAGCGACGTTTGGCTTTTAGAGCTTGCCGTTCACGCTTATTATTCACAAATTAGTCACTTTAGCATCGAGGTGTAGCGAAGTAGCTTCAAATATAAATGAGGGATGGAGTGCGCTACTTGGGTCTAACAAGACAATTGAAGCGAATAAGGCGTGGAACTACTGGAGGTATTGGAGTTTTTAGCTCACCAGAGGAGAAGGACCCTACTGCCCCTTTGAAAATGAGGATCATTGGCTGATGAAATGAGTCTCTTTGGGTTTTTTTCTTGGGCCCATCTTATTGTACTTGATCTTTCTTATTGTTTGTTTTTCTCTCGCAAGGTGTCAATCATGAAAAAGCCCAAAGCCATTTCTTGCCTTCTAGTCCCATCATGTAACTTTCTTGTTCACTATGTACAAGTCTATCCTGGACCCATGTCACCAGAAACATGCACATGTGGACCCACGAACATGATTTGAGCGCATGCGAAGGAATGGATGGATCAATCTATCTATTGTTACCAATGCACATACATGGTTCAGCTAGGGCTCAAAGTATTAGGTGGTTCAAGAATAGGAGAGTTAAGTAAAAAGAAGAAGGAACGAGGTAAAAGAGACCCCCTCAAAACCAACAGAGAGAAGATGTAGTAGTACACTACACTGAGGAATGCTTCGAGTCCCGTAGCCTTTTCGGAACCCTTTTGAAAAACAAGTCTAACCATGAAAGACAGGGAAAAACAAGTCTAAGGTAACCCGAGATGCTGACCTTGTGCTACAACAGGAAGTCAAACGGTGATGATAAAACAAGATACTCTAAAAACGCCATAGAAATGCTTTGCCAATCCCTTTTCGTCTCCTCGACCTTTGTCCAGACAAAGGAAATCCCCAGTATACGGCGAGTTGGGAGCGCACCGAAACTCTTTCCTCTCCAGGAAAACAAGGTTATCTAGTCCCGATCGCTGCTCGTGAACTAGAAAGTGGTTTGGGCCACGGTAAAAGAACCCTTAGAGGGCCTCCGTCTTGGTGGCAGCGGGGGCAGCCGAAGCCTCACCCTGCTTCTTTCGCTCGGCTATCCTTCGCTCTTCAGCAGCAACCATGTCTATATAAGGAAGGATTGTCAGCGGCTATCCCACAAGCATTGCGGAAGAAAACGAATGGAGATACGATAGGGGATAAGCTTACCCTTCCAGCGGTCTTGGCCCTCGTATTCCTCCTTGTGAACCTTCTTCTCGATGAGCTTTTGTGCTCGGGATCGTTAGGGTCGACAATAAGAACGGTCTGCCACCTGCCGGCACCGGTCTTGGCGTCGTTCATCTCAAAGGCCGCAGTGATGACGAGCACGGCAACGGTGAGACCTTGGGCATAAACACGGGCCTGTACTAGCTTCTGGGCCGCAGTCATGTACTTGGAGCGGTTGACGATGGCGAGGGCAACGCCCATGGAGGCCAGCCACGAGCTGAAGACGATAGTATAGCGGTTTTCGCGGCCCCAGCTCATGAACTTGTCGTAGGTCGAGCGATTGGCCATGGCCTCCTCAAGGGTGCGCGCCGACTTGCTCTTGTAGCCATACATGGGATCCTTGGCCTTTTGGAAGGCGATGCTGTACCTCTCTGCATTGACGATGAGGCCAAAAGTGGCCGAAGAGCTCAGGAGGAACGCCTTGAAGGGGAGAGTGAGACTGCGAACGGTATGGTATCGGCGGGTGCCTAGAGACAAGGCGGCCGCGCCGATTCCAAGGCCGACAACACCACCGACGGCGCCGCCGGTGAGCACCTGCTTGTAGTGGGCGGCCTCTTCTTCCTTGGTAACGACCTTCATGGCTGCTGATGCTTGCTGGTCACGCTTTAGGTGTAGAGGTAAGTGTCGAGGCAAGGAACGGGTGCAGAAGAAGTTGTTGCAAGTGGAAAACGAGGAAAGGGGGGATTGGGAACGAAGTGTAATCCTCAAATGGAGCTATAAGTGGGTGGGGCGAGGAAAATCTTTCGATGATTGAAAAGTGGCGTAGTGAGCTCTCAGCGCGACCGAATGTCGACGTCGGCGGAGTGGATGATAGTTTGAGTAGTGGTGGATTTGGCAACCACAAGAAATATGGTAAGGAATAGAACGGGGCTATGAGAGTCAAGGGAGACCTTTGGAAAGGAAGATGAAATCGAGTCTTTCGTTCCAATTCCTCTCGCGTCGCTTGGGGACAGAGGGGCAGCTGGTTTTAAAGCTGGGCTCGAATGATGAGCTCACACAGATGGAGACCAGAAAGTGCTGGGGAAAGTGGGCTCCGGTCCTTTCCGTGGAGCAAAGAACGTATGACAAAACCAGATCTCGCTCAAGTCCGAAAAAATCCGCAAACGACGAAGCTCTCCTATTGGCCTGTCCCATTATTCAGCAACCCAGCATGTGTGCACGGACCAGCACCTCTCGGGTCAGACATCTCCTCGGAGCCGGTAGCTCTGCCTTACACGGAGTTCGGCGGAGAGGACGGAGGAAACCACTCTCCTCCACCAAGCCAAGAGAGCGTTTAAGCAATGCTGCAACCGCCTCTCCCCCGAACAGTTGGGAGCCAATGGGGTGCCCGCGCCGGCCCAGTCGGATTTCTTGGGAGACGAGATCCGTGATGGTCTGATCCGGGGTCCTACATTCCCGTATTGGGTCGCGGCTGCCCCTTGCCGTAGATATGAGGGACGACAGGCGTGGTTTTCGGCGTATTATCTCGCCTGTGGTTGGCTGCTCTCGAGCAGGTCGGCGACCCAAGTGCCCACTTCATAAAATGGTCGGCGTCCTCTTCAATGACATCCTCATCTTGAGGCCTGTTGAACAAGGCTGCCACGGAAGACGCTCGAGATTTTGAGGATGGCTGTCGTGCCATCGTCGCCGAGAATGGAAGCTCCCTTCTCCCCCATTCATGCTCCCTCTACTGTCCATCTTTTACTGTCCATCTTTTACTGTCTTCTTTCAATAGCATGGATGTTTGACTGGAGGGGTATAGAATATTCAAGGGCATTAATCACTCTGCGTAACAGCTATACCTAACAATCTGAAGCGCATCCAGCCCTTAATTTAGCAGAATCACCACTTCAAAACACCTTCGATCGCTTAGCACGGGCAGAGACTCCATTTCCCTCAAGCCCTGGGCGTGGTCATGGACTCCAGATTGGACATGGAGAGTGAAGTGATGATGACTGGAAGAACAAACCCGGCGCCCGCCGGCACCCGCGTGTTGCGGGTTTCCGAGATGCCCTAATAGTGCTTTTCAATTTTGATAGTTATGCTGCGTCGTGTGACCCACTTGTCGCTCTCATAACTCACTGCAGTTTAACCCTCTCCGAGATGCAGAGTCGGGCCCGCCATATGCAAGGTCAGACAGAGAGGCACAGTCTAAAAAAGGAAGATTATTTGCATTCATGTGCGTAAAAGGGTTAAATGGTTCTTCTTTGTCATCTCCATTAGGCTTACAAAGCGGGGATGTGGTGTTGCGTCGGGTGGACTCGGAACCAAGCTCCTTTTCATCACTCATGAGAATGCTTGATAAACGAGAGCAAGATTCTGACGGAATTGATATCACCGTCTTGATTTGCCTGAAATTTGGTCCAACCACTTAAACGAATCCGACTGCGTGGTTGGACTGGGACACACGTCTTATTGTCCAAACATCGCGCCATATAGAGTCGGGCTTTATGAAGTCCTGACAAAATTATTATCAAGGGACGCTCTGTAAAAGGCAGCGAAGTGCCGAGTTATATATGCGAAGACTTCCTATCCACAGATCAGAGACAAAAGGACTAACAAGACATGCCATCCAAATACAGAGAGCCAGTTGGGCTTTAACCTCCGTTTCTGTACTGATAGGAAAACTCTTAACCTGGAGACCGGGGCACGGAGCTTAAAGAGTTGGACTGAGTTCTGTTACCTTCGAGGCTCAGAACCGCTCCGAGGAACGAAATATCTGTGGGGTGTGTAAGGGGTCTTTTCGGCTCTCTCTGTCGAGTAGAAGGTGGGAGGCAGTAAGGCAAGACGAACCAAGTCTAGAACGGCCTCACCGTGCTAAGAATTGTCCACCGTCATTCTCACCTGCTCCATAGCTAGCTTAGCGATGGACACAAAATTGCAGGTTACTCGCTTCCCATGTCAATCGAGACTAGATAGTTGATCTACGCAGTCTGCTACGGCGAGAAAATGACCGTGGGGGTTGATATCTACTTCTATCCCCACGGGCTTAACCTTGTCCTTCGCGCTTTGAAGTGGTATACAACTACAGTAGGCGGTCACAGCCAAATGTCTTTACTCGTCATCTTTAGCCACCGGCACAATGAATAGGCTCTCCCCCAAAGGGCCCAGATTGAGGTTGTGGGGAGTCTGAAACTGTCTCAGCATGAGTACGGCAGGGCTGACATGGTCTTAGTGAGCGCCCATCAAGATGGCTTCCATTCACAATGTCCCCTTCAAGCTCGTTATCGAGAAGAGACGTGATACCGCTGTGCGTTCATGCAGCCTGTATGTCGTTGGAAGGCCTACATGCATGGGACGCTCGAAACGCTTGCACCGCCATGCCTAGTGGTCATGGCTGGGCACGCCTTTCCCACGGCTCGAGGCCCGGGATGTAGATCCATCAGTGCGTCTGAGGTTATCGGGTAGGACAATATGAGACTTGCAAAACAGTATGACATTCTAGGACACAAGAGGCAGTACAAGGCTGTGTTGTACAGAGAGTTTAAAGTTGCTCGATGATGAGCCCTGCGCCATATAGTCGGGACTCGATTCCTTCTATCGCTTGCCGCGCTCGACCGTGACGCTCAGGTGCAAAAGCGATTGTGGGCTACGGCATAGAGCAGCACCGTCCCTCAACTTTCACACATATGCTTCTTCAAGCGAATATCTTCGCATTCACGTCTCAAGTTGCGTCTAATTCCCAGGGGAGATCCCGCTTTTCCAAACCCCACGACTAGCTGAACCATGTGATATTGCTTCAGTACCAGGCCGGGTTTGATAAAGGTTCGCGCTGACTGGGCAGGCCGCAGCTCTTTCCTTATACCTTAAGACCTCTTCCTGTTTGGGGGTTGAGGGCGCTTGGCTGGAGCTCGACTCTCTGATCCTCTTGTCCGATGCTCCTGAGCTTTCGCGAACGGGCTGGTCGGTAGGTCGAGAAGAAGGGGAACTCAGTCACGAGGATCGTTCCTGAGGGGCCCAAGCATCCTCACCGCCCCCACGGCCTCTGGTTTTTTGGGCTGTCCCGATTTCCCCAACATCCCGCGTCGATTTGGAGAAATTTTGGCGAAAGGTGTGAGTGGGGGAGGGGGAGTTGGAACGGGATGGTTCATACAAGTTAGGTAGTGTTGAGACGTCACGAATGCAGGGAGTGGGCCGCCCAGATCAGTCCAACCAGTGACCTTGCAAAACGCATTAGTGTGAATTATTGGCAGAAATAGAATTGGGGGTGGTATGGATAATAATAATAAAGGAGCGGTAACCGACGACAGTAGTCAGTCGTCGTGGTCGGCGGGCGTCTCCCATCCTGGCTCAATGCGGCAGGGAGATGGACTCTTGAGACGCATTTCGGACTTTTTCAGCGCGAGAGCGGCCCTGAGGAAAGGCTGTGAAAGAAGATTGGGACCGGCAAATGAGACGTGACATTGGTGATCGGCTTCGTCTCCAACTCCCGCGTGGCGAGATGACTTTCGTCAGGTTCATGTGATTCCCGCACTGACAATTTATCCTCTCCGGGCGGCAACTTGCCTTCTCCTGGACCGTGTCTCAAGAAGAAGAGGCTTCAGAAATCAACGCAGGCGCAAGTGATATACGCAGAGCGGAGGGACGCAGAGAAAGGCCCGGGAGCCAGGAAAAAGCATCCGTGTTCATCGCAAGAGGTCGCGTCCCAGGGTGGAGCGATGATTGCCCTTCGTAGTGAGCGTTGCCTGTTGCATCTGGAGAGGACATTTGGGGGAACGTCGCCTGAGTGCAATTGTGTGTTCTCGTGAATGATCGCCAGGATACAGGGCCGGAATTCCCACTGCTAAATGCTTGTCTTTTCATTGCCAGAACCTCGTTAGCACTGCCGCTTGGCTGGACTCATCATTCGGAAATCCAGGACTAGCCGGTTTGGGTACCACCTGAGGATATCCTGGCAGAATATCCGGCATGGACCTCTTGGCATACACTATGGGGGTTCGCGTTTGGCCACTCTTTCTCTCTGTCTCCTCTGCTTTGTTATTCTCTTTTCATAAATTGGAAGGGATGCAAAGAAAGAAAAGTGCGGGCTGATACTTGTAGGAGGTTATACACTTTTAGCACGCCAACGTTGCTCGTCGGAGCTCGGCGTGGGGTGTTCGTCGAAAGGCCCTAACACCTCGGTGATACTCATGTCGTTTCCACTGGGGTTATATTGAGGCCGGGAGCTCCCATCCGCAGGCCCTCGCTCGCGCAGCGATTGGAAACGTAGTGGACACTGGGCATCCTTGTCATCTTGGTCTCCAATGTCCTGCTCATATCCCAGCCCGCCATCCTGGACTCACGTCTTTCCCTTTGGTGGAAAGTCTTTGTTTTAGCGCGTCCATCCGTCGTTGGCCGATTTCTTGACTCGGCAACCGAGGCCTCCTCTGGCCTTCTAAGAAGAGAAAAAAAAGCAATCCTTTGCGCTCAGTAGGGAAATGGAATTAGCAGAATGAGGTTCGTGGTGGCGCAAAAAAATAAAAAATAGATACAGTTTGACATCCTTCTCACCGCAGAGGGTAGCCTGTCTTTGATCGCCCATAGAGATCCCTGAGGACGTTGCAGTGTCACAGTCTGGAGGAATGATGCAAGGGTGCCATGACCAGGTGATGTTGAGGTTGCAGAGGCTCCTTGCATCGCACATCTCGCACAGGAGTGTGACGGCGCTACGAGACCCTAAATCCGACTGCAGGTAATATTATGCAGCTCCTGGGTGAGCATCTCATCAGCTTTAGGCTGCATCCTCGACTCCTCCTGTCCTGTCCCCTGCCCTGGAGTTGCTCTGGTTGATGCGGAAGTCGGTCGGCCTCGCGGAAATCGGCCTCCAAATCTCGAGCGAAATCGTCATAGAAGCCAGCCGAGCCCCGTTCCCGGCTGCTCGCGTACAGCCTATTGATAAAACATTTGAACACTCTCCATTTGAACATTCAAGCCTTAACCGCTAAGTTGGCTTGAGTTGACACGAACACCCCTAATGCATATGCAAATTTCAACCGATCCTCCTGGTAGAATAGGGGATTTTTGAGTTCATCCGGACGATTCCAGTTGGTTGTTTTCCTGGAAGGCGTCTGGCGTCTCACGGAACCTACATAGATGCTGTATGACTGCTTCATCTAATATCCGTTTGCCCTTGAGGGGCGTTCCCCATGGCCGGCACCATAAACTTGCTGTTCATTCAGGACATTACGTATTATTACGTCTCCCGACTTACCCAATGAGACGGGGCGGTGAGCGGACAAGCATTCCGGCGCATTTTAGTTTTCAGTTTCAACCTCGGTGAATTCTTGGAGGCTGGACCTGGTAACAATAATAAGGACCATCGCTTGTAGTCAAAGATGAAGGGAAATGCAACCTGTATTTCATATCAACGAGCGATGAAGTCAAGTCAACCAGTCAGCCAGTCAGCCAGACCAACCTGCTCTCGCACCCCTGGATTCCCATGTGATTTTCGTGGAGTTTTCGATGGCTCTGAGTGGACGATGGGGTTCCTCACCGGCACTGCCATGGCTGACCTGCCAGGAACGATCCAGTGGCGGCGATGCATTGGGTGAAAACTATGACTCAGACCCTAGTTGGTGTTCACTGCCAGCCAGTGTTGGCGAGACGAGGGACAGCTGCATTGTCCCCAATGGGGTGCCTCGATCCCGGGAGGTGGGATGGGAGATCTCGCCATTGTGCAGGAGTGATGCGGTCCACAAAGAACGAGAGATCTAGCCAAGTACTTGGAGAACTACGAGATCATCATGATCAAAATTATTCTGAACATTTGAGGGGGGACAAAGTTGTGCTCACACTTGCGAATGGATCATTGCCCCCTTGAGAGGCTAAGTGGGGCACCGATTTTCCGCCAGGAGCGATCAACCTAAGAACTGTAACGTTCATCACCAGTCTTCCATATTTTCCATCTCCACCTCAGGAAGGTGTTAGAAGAGATCCTGAGTGGGTCTAGATTTTCCTCACGGTCATGACGGGTTTCTCTTTGCCCCAATCAAGTGTTTTCCGCTGCTACTCGGCTGCTGTTCAAAGCCAATGCTTGGCTTGGGATCAAGGACCGCAGCATAACGGCCGAGGCGGGGCGTAATTCGTTCGTTTGATTAGCATCATGAGGACTAGCGTTGATTTCTTCGTGTCGTTTCTGCCCTTCCACGAGGCTTCCTTGTCCCTCCCTCAGTAGTTAGGCGGGAAGGATTGCACGGATGGGAATGGAATGGAATGGGCTGTGAAGAACCGGCTCAACTAGGATCGCCTGCCACGATGGGTTAGTGGTTAATCTAGATCTTGTCACTCTTTTTCGAGAAAGTGTGCCAGGCCCGGAAGTAGTATCTTCCAAGGAGCCTCTCACCTCGGCCATTATTAGGCACGCGGTCTGCTGTCTCCCGGCGTCTCATTATGAGTAAAGATTGCCTGGTAGAAAGACGGTGAGCTACACTGGACCGATAAAGTTCACCTGACCCAGCTGGCATTGATTTCTAGAACGATTCTTTCGCGGTGTTGGGGTGAATTAGACCCCCGAGGCAGCCGTACTGCTTATTTTATCAAGAGACGATACGATCATGTCTAGCACTGAGAGCATCCTATCTAATTTAGTCGATGAGTTTTATAACAGGGTGCCCCCTACCTCGGCACAGTCCTCACCCACGAGAGTCGGGAATCGGGGATTTACCCTCTCGGCAAAGAGCAAGATTGCCTATCGTCGAGGGCGATGTCAATTGGCCAGCCCTCGTCTTATTCAAGAACAGCATACATGTAGGATCATGATCATGATCAGATCGTTCTCCCACTGCCTCCGCCAATGGGAGGAGCAGCTAGGCCATGATGGGAAGACGGTGGGTGCCCTTTCGACAAACGGCCGCAGCGGAACTCGTCGAGTTCTTGCGACGCTCGGGTATGAAGTCACGGAGGCGTTCTTGCATTATTCCCGGGAACCGACACCGGCGCCAGCTCATTCTCAAAGAGGGAGGAGGAAGTCCAGGGAGCGCGGGGTTAGGATTTCCGTTTGCGACGACAGTCTCTCTCGGACACAACACCTTGTCGCTGGTTGGCTGGTTTTGATCTGACTTCCGAACAGAATTTAAGGGATCGTCTGCGGTTGCCTACTAAAAGTAATTGATGTTCGTTATAGCCCGCCGAAATGATTCCAGAACGTGTGGCCCGCCCGCCTTCTGAACCGGCTGAGGGCAGTCATCAATTGATGGCCTGGCTCGTTCTCCGGGACTTCGCTCTTCCCAGCGCGCCACCGCGTTTCCTTGGTGCATCAATTCTTCCAATACCTCGTGTATAAATCCTTGGGGGCCCGACAAGTGCCTGGAGAGAAGACATGGAACTGGAATACATCCATACGTCAAGTGTCTGTCAGAGCTGGTGCCAATCGGTCGCTTCCATGGTAGGTTGGATGGCTCACACCAAACTCGCGTATCTCGGCGGCTCAAAGAATGGATACGACGATGAAGTGGGATTGCGACGATGGAGAAATGGGTGTCGGAAGCTGCCACATCCCAATTCATTATACACCTTGATGTGTCCTCATCTCCAAAACTGAGACTGTGTTCGTCAACGAAGATGTGGATCAATTTGGATCAAGCAAACCCCAGACCCCAAGCAAAACTTTTGGTTTTGGTCCTTTCAATGTTCAATGTTGCCTTCGAGGACGCTCCAGTCCTCGCTTTTACTACATACTCTCCGACCACTCGTAATACTACCCTCTACCGCTCCTTTCCGTCGAGACTCGTCCATCCCTCCTGTGACCCCCATTCTTCACGATCTGCGGGACCATGAATGGTTGCGCGTGGCGGGCGGATGGCTCGGTTGAGAGCTAGGTTAAGCGCTGTCGCTACCTATGATGAAACAGCGCGCCCAAGATTTCGATAGACTGGAGGTGGTGTGTGCACACAGGTACCCTGACTCGATGTTCTCCATGTCTTTTCCAAACGATTCAGAACTTGTACTCTTCTGTCTAGCCTCCCCGAACAGCGCTGGGGAAGGGTGCCAGCAAGGATGGTCATCAGGCAATTGCTGCTGGACCCCGCCAAGTCCATCTCTCACGCTTGTGCGGAGGTGTTCCCGGCTGTCCATCGAGTTATGGGCAACTAGACGTCTCGTCGTATAAGACACTGATGCCCCCGTGAGGGATCGCGTTTCCGATTGCTGGGGAACTTTATCAACTGTTTAGTGCTCTTGCCCCTTTCCCAGCCCCATGAAAAAAACAAAACCACTGGTTTCCGACCCGTAATTGTTATAGAAAGAAGCGTTTCCATCATTGTATCTCTGCTCTTCATGCGCCCTCAAGTCTTTGTGTGAAGAGCCCCGCCAGTCGAACCTCCTCCACCCTTCCTTGACTTCAGTCTGAGATTCTAGGCGGAGCTCCTCAAGAGAGTCCTGGGCGTATTGTCACTCAATTCTTAGAGTCGCACCCTTGAATACAAAACCAGCGCACTAAGCAGAGCATCATACTTTTTGGTCGAAACCGCCACCGAGGCCCCTCTCACGTTTCCACCCATCTCATCACCGGGTGACAGCTCCTGGCGTTGCGCAATCTAGAGAGGCCCAACTAACACGCCCCCTTCCGTTTGGATGCTAGACGCCTCTCAAAAAGCCGAGACCAGGTGAACGCGAAAGCCATCTCTTTTCGAAACGCGACACGTTTTTCTTTCCTTCTTTTCCCCTCGTTCCTTTTTTGAACCTATCCCGGTCCTGGTTCTGCTGCCGCGTACGCGCAAGCCCAAGATCTGGTTCGGAGAGCTCGACTAGGGGCAACCTTGAAAGGAACAAGAAGCTCGCCCCTCCCAAGCCCTTCTCTCCCCCTTGAACGGCATTGGTGAGCAACGGTCGGCAGTGTCGACTGGATCACTAGTGGAAATCGACAAAGGCCCACCAGCTAGCTTACCCAGCACCTGGAGCAGTTGTGGGTTTTCCTCGTGGGCAAAATCGTCTCTCTTGGCCGGCGATTCGCAAAAGACCAGGCTAGCATCCCAAATTCAGCATAGACTCCGCGCTTTTGACACGGGCGCCAGCGAGGAGCGACCAAGCGACCCAGCCAGCAGCTTTCTGAGGCCGGTTACGACACCCACGACAGGTCCCGCCACAGCGCGCCTGCCCAGCTCCGTGACATTCCCGACCGACGCCTCACTGGACCGACATCCAAGGGAAAAGGTCTCGATTCGGGCTAGCAGCAGAAGCCATCACCGCCACACTCCCTTGTCACCTTTTATTCCTGTTTAATTCCTGGCCCGGCAGTATTATTAATCGCTTGACGGTAACGCATCGCTCACATTATTTCTTGTGCAATTCAGGATCTCCCCCGAGGCAAAAGGGAGCCCATCTTCCGAGTTAGCACCGGAGTACCAGTACACTTGGCCCTCAAAAGCCAAGGCGACCATCACCGCCAACGTACCGAGTACTAAGCTAGGGATCGGTACCCATCTCTCCATACTCGGGCTCACACAGACCTTGGTACCCACACTAACACACTTACACTGGCTGGGCCGGCGCCAAAGTTGAATTCCCGCCGGAGAAAGGCTTCCAACGCTCCTAGCGCAGACCCTTTGCTTCGCCATCTGGTCCGTCATTTAATCATAGTGCAAGGGTACCGGTACCCACAACCATGAGTGGTTTCCGTCGGTTGCTAGTGGCCTTTAGCGGTCGAGCCGAAGACCCATGTCAGCAGCGCCGGACGGACATGCCGCAGGTGGAAGGCACGCTCCAGCACCAGCACCAGCACCAGCAACTGGAACACGAAGGTGGGAAACTGACGTTGGCACTTGCACATGAACAGCAAGACAGCCAGCGCAAGCGTCACCCAAATCAGGACCAAACCCAGTTGCACCAGTGGAGGTCATCAACCTCGCCTGGAACGACTGGAACGACTGGAGCGACACCATCCGCCTCCTCCACCTCCACCTCCACTTCCACCTTGACCTCTCCGCCTCCCACCACTTTCACTACTTCCACAACTTCCATTACTTCTACCACTGCCCCCTTGCCGCTTCGGGTCTCAGTATTTCTAGCCCATTTCACCCGATTGCAACGGCACCTGGAAACAATAATTCCCAGACCTTGGATTCTCGTGCTCTCAATAGCATTATTTCTCCCAACGACGGTATTTCTTCCACAACATCTGCTGTCTCTGGCGCCCACACCCAGTCCGCCGGGATCCCCTCCAACCTGATTTCGCCCGCCAGTCGCCAGAGTCGCCAGAGTCGGCAACAATTGCGACCCCAGATTCCCCTCTCCCCAACCCTCGACGCCTCCCGATAATTTTCCTGACACCCGAAACCGCGTCCTCAGCAGCGCACCACCGCATTCCAAACCCATAGGCATCCCCGCAATCTCGTCGCTGCGAAACTCCCTCCGCCTCGACGATCGAATTTACGGCATCGACTCGTGTGCGATCGAAGCCGACGATTACGACGACAACGACGACGACAACGACAATAATCGCGACCATTGCCTCATGGTCAACATGACCACTGGCCCATTCCTCGACTCGGCCGCGGGCCGCGGTCGCAAGGATTCCTTTGTGAGCGCCGGTCCAAAGCCCATCTCTATGGCCAACCCGAATCGTGATCAAGCTCGTCAACGACGCGAGTCCCTTGCTGGGAGTTTGATGGGGAGGAGCTTTGGCGGCATGTCTGTCGGCAGCTTCGTTCGAGATGAGTATGGCTTACCCTCAATTTCCCGTTTCTCTTTTCCATTTCCTTTATTTTTTCCCCCTCGTTACCTTTTCCCTTGGCTCTCTTCTCCTGTTCTCCAATCTGCCTTGCCCTCCCTACCCCTCATATCTCACAACATCATCCCTTATGCTTGCCTCATTTTCGGTCGAGCCTTGGGCGCCTCTTACTGAGGATCTGTCACTTGTCCACTTCTTCGGCTCGCTCGAAATGGTGATATTTGTGGCGCCACTTGAGACTGCACCGCATCCCCCATGACGCCCCGTCGCTAATCGCCTCGCTTTTGTAGCATCCTGATGGCTGGTACCTCTCCTTTCGGTGGTTTCCAGCAGTCTCCGTCCTTTCAATCCTCCTCCTACCTTCCCAAACTTGAGGCCAATTTTATGAGGGACTTCACTTGCTGTGGCAAGACGCTTCCAAACCTTCATGACTTGCTGCAGCATTACGAAGAGGCTCATGCTCAGGAACCGAATCACCCTCTTCCAAGACGCCTAATCTCATGCAGTATGGGCATGTTCCAGGCTATGGCGCTCCTAACAATTTTGGTCAATCTTCGGTGAACTCACCCTCGGCCCTGCCGGATCGCTCGCGCAACAGAACCGTCAGCCTTTGGGTATTGGCGGGTCCATTTCTACTGCCGGTCTTCAGATGTCTCCACATGGCCTTTCGAACGTCACGAACCAATCCCATCTGGCTGACGAAATGGACACAGTAGGCGATATGGAGATGGACGACGCCGTTGGTCACCTTGAGATGGACGACACCCAGCAGCGCAGCATGCAACAGGCCAGGCAACTCTTTGGCCAGGCTAGCCGACCTCAGCTCAATATTAATGCCTCTGGATTTACTCAGGGCCTCCGCACCTCGCAGCCCACAACCCCGGCCGCTGCCAGCTTCGGGTTTCAGCATAACCCGACCGTTTCCTCGGTCAATACGCCTACGCTAACGACCCAGCAACCTTTGCCCTCGCGCGGTAGCACGTCTTTCAACCAGTCGCCAACAGGAGACAGCGAGGATCTCGGTATGCAGCTTGGCGGTAGCATCAACCTTAACGGCAACGACTTCAATCTTGGCACCACATCATCCAACACTACTTCCAACGACTCGGCCTTCTGTATTAACGACCCTGGAAAGCACCTTTAGCCCCAATGGCGCGGCCACGAATCACCAGAGAGCCCTTCAGCAGCAACTGGCGCAACTTGTCCTGGAACAAAACCAACCCTTGACGAATAAGGAGCTCATGGAGCGGTTTGGGCCACTTTTGATGCAACAGGAGGAAGCCAAGCCGTTCAGATGCCCCGTTATCGGCTGTGAGAAGGCTTACAAGAACCAGAATGGGCTCAAGTACGTTTTCTTTTTCTTTAATCCGTCCTACAACTTACCTTCTTCCTCCCTCTTGCTACGACGCAAGGGCTTCAACCCCGCCGAGTTTGTCGTGCTAACCACTGTTAATAGGTATCACAAGGCTCACGGGCACGCGAACCAACAGCTACACGAAAACGAAGACGGAACCTTCTCTATCGTTGATCCTGATACGTGTATTCCTTACCCTGGTACACTGGGTATGGAGAAAGAGAAGCCCTATTCGTGCGAGGTTTGCAACAAGCGATACAAGAATCTTAACGGGTTGAAATATGTACGTTTACCCAGCCTCCTATCCATCTCTCTGTCAACTCTTTACTAACATGGGGGTATACAAAGCACAAAAACCACTCATTATACTGCAATCCTGAGCTGTCTTCGCAGCTGCTTGCAGCACATCTTCAGCAAATGCCCGAGTTGGCCGGCACGTTACAGTCTCCTTCGCCGGCCCCTCAATGATGATGCGTCAATGCCTCGAAATTTGGCCTTGCAAGCGTATGCTCTTTGGAGCACCGTATTGGCAATTTCAATGTTCGCATATTCAATACCGTTGAATCATCTGCACTCCTTTTATTGAAGATGCATGTCTGAGGCTACCCCACCACGGTGGGCAGCTTGGATGTGCGGTATTGACAACCCGAAAAGGCGTCATCGCGCCACCATGCATCATTTAGGAGCATCTAACGGCGTCTCACTATCTTGATTTGGTTTGCTTTTGGCCTCCTACCCTCCCCTAAAAGTTTTTGATTTTCATTCCCTCCATGATGACTCCCTCGAAGGTGGAAAGTTTGGGTTCCCAGTTCAATGTCTAGTGCAAGTCTCTTAATACCTCTTTATACCCAGACCCTCCATAGACTGGATTCGGCACAACTTCACGAGAACGACATGGTCCTACTACTTTTATGTTTTTGCCCCCTCTCCCTTAGACAGCTCTCCACACATACGCACACCCTTACGCAATGCACGCACCACGCATACAAAATTTCGGCACTCGTTTAGATCCTAGCTCCTCCCTTCCCCGGTTTGATGTCACCTATTTTTTTCTTTGGTCGGCTTTATCTTGTAGATTTTTCTTTTCGCGAGGAAGTGAGCTAAATGAAGGAAGACGGAGAGAGGTCTTAGTCGGATGAACCGAATGTGAAAAACAAAAAAGAATGGATACGGTAATAGAGGATCCCAACGCACTCTCCCATCGTTTGTGGCTCAAATTTTTTTCCTGTTCTGTTTCCTCTCTCCTTTTACTGGGGTTTCTTGATTTTGGAGAAGGAGCGGTTCCTTTGCTTTTCTGAAACTTGGATCTCTTCCAATGTACTACTACTATATTGCACTCAATAGCAGCGGCTGTTAGGTCTTATGAAGAATGGCAGGGTGACAGTTCTTAACCCAACTAATATCTCTATTAACCACAACTCTTGGGAAATGATGGTTATGACTGAAGACTGCGTGGCAGACATTCCATGTGGGAGGCGTGTTGTTCGTATCGGGCTTGCCCGGCCTCTCTTGTGTAGATGCTGGCTCTCCCTATTTAAATACAGGGGAGGGTAACCAGTGGCCACCTTCCACGCTCGCTTGCTAGTGAGTCTCCGGGCCCATCTGCGGCTACGCCGGGCCTCAAAGCTGGGAGGAGGAGCAACGAAGTGAGGGCTAGGGGCAACAAGATGCTTTGAGTGGCCTGGATAGGTTCCGGAACATGGCAGCGCTCTCGATCTTTGTCGATCGGAAGACTTTGGCGAGCTCTATCAAAGCACACGGTGAGTACATGTAGGCGATGAACAATTGGAGGGACGAAAAATTATAACAAAAGAACAGCGGCTCGGTTGATCCTTATATAATGCTATGTATATGAAAACTGATTCAATAGAAGGGCAAAAAGAAAAAGATACAAAGTAGAAAACAAAGTCACGAAGCACGGGAAAACCTCTAGGGGCTTGTTTAACTCCAGCATCGTCGTTCCATTCGCCCTCGCCTCCACGGCTCTTTTATTTTTCGACCATAACTCATAAGCGTACACATGCGGAAAAGGAAAGGAAAGGTGATAAGGAAGCGGGTATTTCGCATTAACTCCAGGGAACCGAATCTCTCTTGACTCGGAGAAAGATAGTAAAAGGTGAAAATCGTTCGAAGATAACGGAGTGGCCAAAATGATCCACCAAGGGGTGGTGGGCGCAAGTGGCATACGCGTTATTCGTGCGGCGAGGAGAAGGTGTGGGGAACGAACAGAGGAATTGGGTTACCTCTCTCATAAACTCATCTCCATGCCATCGTCATCCTCTAATTCCGACTCAACAAGTTGAGTTTGCTGACTGCTCACGCTCGCCTTACGAACTCGCAGGGAACTAGGATCGCCATAACCGGCACCCTTGAGGCCTTCGACAAACTCGAGCTCTTCGCCACCTACGACCCTGCCCTCCATATCGACCTCCTGGGACAACTCCACAAGAGCTGCTCGGGGAGCCGCAGGAACCCGGCCGTGCGGACCACGCGGCCCCAATGGGTCAAACAAAAGGAGGCTGCACGCTTCCGCAGCCAATCTTCGTTTGCAAGCCCGGCACAGTACCAGATGATGCAAGCATGATCAACATCGAGCTCTTTGGAGAGTCTGTTTACACAAAGTAAGCGTAGATGTGGAATTGCATAGATATTGGACATCACTAGCAGGCCGGCGACGTCCGAAAGGTCCGTGACAGCACCACTCTCCTCATCGGTAGTCCCGTGGATGTTGTCGGTATAGAGATAGAGAAGGAAGGCTTTGACGACACTGTATGGTTCCGGAATATGCATTTTTTCGTGTGAAACTCGGCCATCTGAGAATTGTATAAGCGTGCAAAATGCGGCCACCGTGCTTGAAGGATCAGCTTATGCACATATATCGGTCCAGATGTTGGGGCGTCGGCTGAGAGCCAGGTTTCGTCGGAGGCATCACCACCGTGGGTAAGGCTGGTGGCAAATACATCGTGGTCTTCGATCTCACTAGAGAGCGCGGTGATTACAAAATCAGTACCGCTGCCGCTTTCGGAAGGTTGGTTGAAAAGCTTGGCAAGGTCGGCGCCGAGTCCACGGCTCGGCTGATCGACAACTCTGGCAACCGATCGACGAGCCTCACTCCGTAAATCTACCGGGGAGCTGTTTCCTAAGAAACCGTACCGGCAAAGATCGATCTCCATGATATCGCTGTAGAAAAATGCCCTCATGTTAGCGCGCCTTTTATTCTCTGTTTCACGTGAACTAGGTGGAAGAACTCGTTCCTTACCTGAGATATTCCTCAGACCCGTTAGGCCCTAGATCGTTGGGAGCAGGCTCTGTAGTGCAGCCTAAGAGCCACGCTTTAGTGCCCTCGCCGTTCATCGTGCAGTAGTGCCATCGGTATCCCATCTTGAATACCTCCTGGCCTTCGGCAAGCTTCTGCCAACGAAGGGCACCGAGATCCAGAGCTGATAGGGAACAAAGATTGGATGTTGTCGTGGCGGCTGGCGTCTGGAAGTCAAGCAAGGTGCCCGACGAGTAAACGTGGAAGTGGGAGCCTTGGGCTTGGGATGGAATATTCTGCCCAGAGGTGAACTTCAGAGAGGAGATGGCTCCCGGTGCCATGGGCGAGTAAGACTGTAGCTGGAATGAGGGTGGGTTGACCTGCGCTGTTCGGGAGTTGGCAGCATAGCCTGAACTACCGACAACAGATGATTGCGAGTAAGGCGTTCGTGGTGAGCCAATGGCTCGGCAATTGCCCGAGTGCGGACCCATGTGAGGCGACGACTCGAATGCTGGATTGCCCTTGAGATCAAGCCAGCAAAGTTCGCCAACCTTATCCATCTCTTGACTCAGCCCGCCAAAAACCCAAACCCGTTCGCCCCAGATATATGCAGAGTGGTCGAAACGTGCCACAAATCTCCATGACCGAGACCATGTGAATGTCTTCAAGTCGAGAAAGCAGATGTCGTCGAGTACGTAGTTGTCTCGGCCGGTCATGCCGCCAATTATGAAAAGCTTGTCTTCATGAAGCACAGCAGCATGACGCGCGCGACCCTTGGGAATGTGGCCGTAGACCTGGGGTTTGGTCCAGTGGGCAGACTCGAGGTCGAAGATTATGAGGTCGGAAAGGTATGCCCGGTGTTCGTTCTCGCCGCCGAAGACTAGGAGCTTGTTGCCCTGATATAAAGTTGCAGTATGACCTAGATAGACCAAAGATGAGCGCATATCCAAGCGAGAAGCGGGATGGAAGAAACGTCGATTAGAGTGACAAGAAGGGGGATATAGCCAACGTACCCATACGGACCCCTGGGATATCGCCAAAGTTGGGGACAAGGCTCCATTGGTTTGTGGCAAGATCTAGCCGCAGGACGTGATTGTAAACCTCGTCAGTATATTGGTCAAATCCTCCGAAGGCAAAGATTTGGTTGTTTCCGCAATGGGTAACAGAGGCATTGACAAGGCATGCCGGGCGGTTTCCTAGAGTACGGGTGACTCGCGGTCTGTAGCCGTCGGCGAGGCCTAGCCTCTTCAAAGGTGAGTTTGGCATGATGTAAGTGCTGTTGGACGTCACTGAGTTGGGCGTGCCACCGGCAGTCACAATTGCACCCGAGGCAATGACGACCTCACTCCCGCTAACAGAGCTGGATGAACCAGGATGTGAACTACGAGAGGCAAGAGATGATGTTCCAAAAAGGGACATGCTGGGCCCAGGGGTGGATGGGTCGCTATCCATAGTACCCGCTGCTAAGGCCGAATCGAGCCGCGAAGCGCTAGAAAACCATATTCCCACCGCAATCAAACGGAGATCTCGTTGCAAAGGGTGAGCCGAATTGATAAGTTGGGCTGAAGACGCGGGGGTCGGGGCAGTTATGGAGCACAAGAGATATGCAAGCTTCAAACGGGAAATCAATTGTACGCGGAACAAGAGAGTGAGTGACCAGCCAACAGGCATAAATTGAACGACGGGGAGGGCCAAGGCCTCACGGATTTGGAACAAGGAGAGAAGGTGGCGTTTAGAGTTGCAGATTCTCGCGCCTGCCTATTGGCTCTACCCTGGTCCGTGGGTCGAGATGGATCAAAATCCATGGTGGCCGAGTTTTAGCCGGGAATTCACGTGAGGACGCAATCTCCTGAATGCTTCCTCCGGGCCCGCACAAGCATTGACCACGCCTTGGGTCAACCGTTGCTGGGTTAGCCATGGTGGGGCACGAAAGTAAATAAAAGGAGCTGGTAATGCTAGAGCTGCCATCTTGAATCTTCCTCCCCTTCTCTATCAGAACACCATCCATTCCGCTTCCCTCCACACAAACCCTCTCTCACTCTCACTCTCCCTCTCCTACAACTTTCTAGTTGAAAATATACGTCTCCCTTCAATTATTCCAAAGAACCTTCAAGTCTATTAGATCTTGCCGCTACATTTGAGCCGCTTGATTGCCCCACCGGCTTCCGGGTCCTTCTTTGAGAACGCATCTCCTCGATACAACCAGACAAATTCGACAGTGACTAGTACTAACCAAATCAACTTCCAGGAATCATTAACTTGAGTCTCTTGGAGCCCGTTCGACACGTCGGAGCTCTCAACCTCAAAACATCACATCCAAAACTAAAATCCCCTCTTCACAATGGCTACAGCAGCTATATCAACTCCTGTCAAGTCCCACACTGGGCTCTTTTCCACTCGCACCGCTGGCGGGCGCATGCCTCTTACTCCATCGCCAAGGCAACGGTCCTCTGCGGCTGCCCCGGCCGGACTTGACTCCTCCCCATTCACCCCCGAAAAGCACTCCAAATCCCTGTACAACGGAAACCTTGTCTCTCATTTCGCGAGATCCGCCGCGCACCGTGATTCGCCTAAATCCAACATCGCCAGGGGTGTTACCACACCCCGCAAAGCCCTCGAGCTCGGTGTCTCGGATTTCGCTTTGACCGGAACCGGACTGAGCAAGACCCCGCTAGCGCCAAGTCTAAGAAGGGCAGTCTGAGGCACAAGGCTTCCAAGACCACTTACACATATGCTGCGGACCGCTTCATCCCAAATCGTGGCGCAAGCTCAGCAATCGCCAATGTTGGCTCCAGCAAGCTTGACTTTAGCGAAACTAAGCGCTCCAAGTCTAACACCACCGAGGGCTCGTCGGTCCTTGCTTCAGCTACTGATGATGCCATCTCCGCTCTTGAAGGACTCAGCATCAATGATGATGATACTAGCTCCTACTCCCGCCCATCCCCCAATACTGTTGCCTACCAAGATTCTCTGGCCAACGCGTGCGGTGTCAATCTGAATACGCGCATCCTCCAGTTCAAGCCCGCCCCTCCCGAGTCATCTAAGCCTATCGATCTCCGCCAACAGTACAATCGTCCCTTGAAGCCTGCTACCAGCTCTGCACAGACGAGGCGACGCATCGCCACAGCCCCGGAGCGTGTGCTCGATGCGCCTGGTCTTGTTGATGACTACTATCTCAATCTCCTTGACTGGAGTTCCGGCAACCAGGTGGCTATTGGCCTTGAGCGTAACGTCTATGTCTGGTCCGCCGATGAGGGCAGTGTCAGCTGTCTTCTTGAGGCTAGCCCCGATACCTACATCAGCAGTGTCAAGTGGTCTGGTGACGGCGCCTACGTTGGTGTCGGTCTCGGCTCTGGTGAGGTCCAGATCTGGGATGTTGCTGAGGGCGCCAAGGTTCGCAGCATGTTCGGTCATGATACACGCGTGGGCGTGATGGGCTGGAACAAGCATCTCCTGTCAACTGGTGCTCGAAGTGGTCTCGTTTTCAACCACGATGTCCGTATCGCCGAGCACAAGGTGGCAGAGCTTGTCTCCCACACCTCGGAAGTCTGTGGCCTCGAATGGAGGTCTGATGGCGCTCAGCTCGCTACTGGCGGCAATGACAACCTCGTCTCCATCTGGGATGCCCGCTCCCTCTCTGTCCCTAAGTTCACCAAGACCAACCACAAGGCTGCGGTCAAGGCCCTCGCTTGGTGCCCCTGGAATATGAACCTTCTCGCCACTGGTGGTGGTTCGTACGATCGCCACATCCACTTCTGGAACTCCACCTCTGGTGCCCGTGTCAATAGCATCGACACCGGCTCCCAGGTCACCAGCCTCCGCTGGAGCCCCCATTACAGGAAATTGTCAGCTCCAGCGGGTTCCCTGATAACTCGCTCAGCATCTGGAGCTACCCCACCCTGGTGCGCAACGTTGAGATTCCCGCCCATGAGAGCCGTGTCCTCCACAGCTGCCTCAGCCCTGATGGTCAAATGCTTGCCACCGCGGCTGCCGACGAGAGCCTGAAGTTCTGGAAGATCTTCGAGAAGAAGGCAGGCTCCGTATCCGCGTCGGCAAGCATCGGCTCCAGCGGCAAGGCCGAGATGACCAAGCAGATGTCAATCCGATAAATTCCAGGATCAGTCCAGCCATGATCAACAATAAGTCCGGTAGGTATACTTTTCAATTCGGTAACGGACAACTGGGATAGCGGTCACGGATGGAGGCCGGGGTTTCTTCCAGCAAGGCGTTGGGGGTTTTTTCCCGAACATCGTCCACAAGGCGCAAATTGATTTTCCACCTACAAATCAGGTTCCAGACAACGGCAACACAGATTGGTCATGAGTTTACGAGTATGATACCAAGTAGCAGCAGAAGGAGTATTCAGGAAATTATGGAGAAGCTTAGCATTGCTGGTGAGGTTGTGCGCAAATTTTGCGAAAGTAATAAATGGTCCGTAAGGATCGCCTGTTTTTTTAAAAGTCCCAGGTTCACTTTATCGTCCTTCCAACGTGATGAATCGTATTTACTTGGTTGATGTCATCGTCGACGGACCTATGAATATGAGTTCTGGAAGGCGGTGAGCTGCACGGCGCTCTTGGTAATCGCTGAAGAGACGCTTGCTCGATGACTAATCTCTATCGAGGCCCCAAGTTGATAGCCTTGTCGGCGAGAGGCTAAACGAACGAACTCTCCCCATTACACACCCACCAGGCCAAACCCCCACCAGACACCACCATCAACATAGAATAGCGGAACAAAACGGTCCACTCGCAGTCTCCGTGATTTTCCTACCCTCTAACAGACAGAAATTGTACTCGTCTTCCGACGAGGCCATTTTCGAGTTGGGGGATCAAGCAGTAAATACTACGACCTGCTGTACGTAGGGCAGTTTATGTCCCCAGGGCTGTGCAGCTTCCAGAACAACAGAATCGGCGTCAATATCATACGAAAGCCTCAGCGTCATTAATCGAAGGCGAGAAAGGCACCAAGAAACTTGAAAGCGGCTATAACGACGAGGGAAAACCACTCGGATCCACGATAGCCTTCCTTAACCTCCACCTCTCCCGGCTGCTTTATCAATCTGCCCTAGCCCCTGCATCTCCGCAGGACTGCTCTGCCTCATTTACATTCTTGACCCGATCAATCAGGCCCTAGCGTAAAGCCTCGAAAGCACCATGTCGAACGCTGTGGTTGGAAATGTTTACGATCAGATCATCAAAGACGTCATCGAAAGTTCTCGGGTTGACTTCGAAGAATGCGGCGTAGATGAGTCCGTCCTGGACGAACTTCGTGAGGTATGTGTCCGTTTGCTTGCCTTGTTCTCTTTCGTGATGCATGCTGCATCTAGTGCGCCTACTTCCTCCATTCTTGGCGGCCTCCTTGACCGAAATCGGATGAAGGAGAATATTCCTAGAAGAAGTGGATGGCGGAGGAAAGAAGAAAATTGGAGAACCTTGAGTGGCGTAGATGGGAAGAAGAGTCGTGCATCCGATCCGAGGCCATCACCGCCCAAAGTTGGCGAGGGCGCGGGGATGGAGGAGGACAAGGGGGATGAAGGGAGCCCAGCATTATTTGGGCTTTTAAGCACAATCCCCTCACCTTACTGCGCCCCTCCCCCAGTCTGCTGCCTGTTTTCGCCCATCCTACACCTGATTGGCTCGCTTATTGGCCCTCTTTTGGAACATGGCGCTCTACCTTCCAAACCTCTACGCGAATCGCAAACACCCTCAAGTTTAAAGAGATGATGAGGAAGATGCCTAGTATTTTTCTTCCTTTAGTATACTAACTGTTTCTTAACAGGGATGGCAAAAAAACTTACGCAGCTCCGGGTTGCCGAGTTTCCTTGGGACCCTAAGCCCGATGCGATGGTCCCACCCCCAGGTGCCTCAGCACCTACCAATGCCACATTCGCCCAGCAGCATAGTCCCCAACCTGGGGCCCAGGCCCTGCCGCTTCCCGCGGCACCTGCTGCCGTGAACGGCCAGCAACTCCCAGGTGATATTAAGATGGAACCCGATATCAAGCAGGAGCCCGGTCTTTCTTCCAACGTTATGCCCGGCTCCTTTTCGACAGACCCTCGCAGCGTCGCTGCCGCCCGTGCCTCTCAAGCCCTCCAAAAGAATTACGGCAACAGGGCTACCAGCTCTATCAATGCTATTCAAGCTGGCATGACGGCGCAGGCTCAGGGACTCAATGGCCAAGGCTACCCGCAGGGTCAACAGAACCCTGGCCACTTACCCATGCCTCAGACTGATGGCGCGGATGATTCTCTCGCTGAAGGCGTTTTGATGGGACAAAACACAGCTGGAGAGATGGTGGAAATGGGTCGAATGGATATCGACAAGATGATGCATGAGCAGATCCTCGCCAAAGCCAAGGCCCTAGAAGGTGGTGGCTTCATGGTGCCCTTAGAGGAAGCTCTCAAGCACCCTTCTAAGGCTCGCAAGGTGAAGAAGACAGGTCTGCCTCAGGTTGACGGCGGTGATGATGACGATGGGGAAGACGCCATTAATTCAGACCTCGATGACACGGACGATGACCGGGAGGATTCAGAGGTAGATGACGAGGGCTTGAGTCACATCATGCTTTGCATGTATGACAAGGTGCAGCGAGTGAGGAATAAGTGGTAAGTGACGATATGATGTCGGCTTTCAGGTGCTCACAACAGACTCACCACGGAAATGCGGCCACCGGCTTTGCATGGTACTGATGCTAACGCCTTGCTTAGGAAGTGTACCCTTAAAGACGGCGTACTCACCGTGAACGGCAAGGAGTACGTGTTTCAAAAGGCGACCGGGGAGTACGAGTGGTAAGCTTTGAAAACAGGCTAGATTCCATACCACTCCATCACCCACCAGAGAGTGTAGTGGGCCTTATAGAAAACACGGGCATACCAGCGTTCCTCAACAGTCGATGCTGTCACGGAAATGGCTTTCCTTTCCATCTTGCCTTTGGGCATTGATTCTCTCTGAAATAGCAGCGCCTTCTTCAAAGCTGCGTAAAATGACACTGGGGCCCATGGGACTTGGTTCGCTGCTTGGTTCACTACTTCTTTGGTCCTGGATGGCTCCAAGTAGCTGTTTGGGTTCCACACAAGCAGGACTTCTAGTTCCCGGGAGAGCTCACCACGTTGAGCACTCAGGTAATAGTTAAGAAGTTGACATGTATGATATCATGGATAGAAGTCCTACGCGCTCGCGAGGAAAGTATTATTACTAAAAATAAGGAGAAAATTGAATATCAGAAGAGAATGGAGGTCTTCAATCATATTGTGCTTTGCATTTCCACAGACTGGGAATATGGTTGTGAGATCATTGATGACACAGAAAAATAGTAAAGTGATCTAATTGGGGTCCTTTGGAGGTCCCTTAGGCGCTTGACTCTGTGCTGCCATGCCTGCTGCCAAATCTTGGGGAGAGAAACTAGCCTCCCCAGACCTGACCAACATGGCTTGTCGATGTAAATGACTCGATCGCGAAAGTTTCACGGCGCTCTCTTGTAAACCTGGATTGCCTTCGAGGCGGTCGATAGAATAGGATGGAGGCAACCAATACCCCGTAAACAAACCCACAAAGGTCGGCCCTACCGACCCGCCTCTCCAGCCGTACAGCGAGGCGTGGGCCGCCTCCAAGCCCTAATTTCTCACCTTGCTACTTTTCCTCCCCGTCCCCGTTCCCTGCTGTCTGTTTACCTGGAAGACGTCTTGTCCCTTTCTCGGCGGATCTCTTGGAAACCATCCCCCCTGCCCGGGTTCCTCCCCGGTTCTAGGCCTCAAGCCGACCCCGTCGTCCGTGGTATAACATGTCGCGGCCTAAACAGGGAAGTAAGATAATAGCCCAGCCTTAAGCCAACACGTTTGTTTATTATTATTGTTGTTTTCTTTTTTTTCATAGTCTGAGCACAAGAGCCATGGGTAACGAACACGCCTAGGCCGGCAGCGGCGAAACCCGCTGGCCGCCTCCCGGGCCTTCGTTGTTGTTGGTTAGTTCCATCATTGTGATGCCCCGCATGTCAAATGACGAAGAGGGGAGACAACAGGCAGGGGTCGAGAACGTTCAATTTCCATTGCAAGCGACCTTGCAGAAGAAATTCTGAAATGAAGAGGTTGGGGGCCAGCGTCCTCCCCTTTTTTCTCTTCCATTTGGAGGGAGACCAGTTAACCTGTTCAAGGGTTGCGTCTGGGGATGCAGAGGGAAGCGAAGAGTAGGAAGTCAAGAGGAAGTACAAGTATGCCCGACCCGGCAGTCTGGTAACAACCCTGGAAAGAAAAGTGGGGACTGGAAATCACTTGGCATCTGGCGCGCCAGCCACAATTTCAACTTGGAACTACTCGCTGCTGGTCATTCCCACCCACAACAAGTATCAATGGTCCTATCATTTCACTTCCCCATTGTCCCTTCCTCTTGAAGAGATGGGAGCTGGCGGTACGCCTCTTTCCTTCTCCACCTCGGAAATAAATTTCCGTCCGTAAATGATCTTACCAACGGGAGGAGCGATCCTGCGACGTGCCTGCTCCTCTCGAAAGGGTTCACTCTGCGTATGAAACCTCGCTTGTGAAAATGACCAAATACCTCCCCTTGTAAGACTCCCTCTTCCAGTTTATCCAAGGAACAAGCGACTTTACTACATTTATTGATTGCTCACTCCCACCTAACCCTAGCTAATCAATCCTTGAGTAAAGGGCCCTCCGATCTAGCCCTCCTTCCTCCTTCCCATTGTGCATATTTTGGCGTCCTACGTATCTCGAGCCGGGGAGAGGGGTGAGGTGTTAACACAGGGCCTATCATCTATTTAGTCCCGGTTCTCGAGTCACATCTGTGATCAGCACAATAGATCCGAGAACTAGGGCTCCAAAAGTGCTAGCGGAGTACCAAAGTAGTCATGCTGCACTACGCAAGACGATCCCCAAGGACAAGGGTCGGGGATCGGGGAGGAGAGGATAAGAGGGGAAAAAGTAACGAGTGAGGAAGGTGATGTTAGCCCACTCTGCATTCCTTCATCCAGATCATCGCGTCGGGTGTCACCCGAAGAGCTGACTCGAGCGTTCTGTTATCAAACTGGCCTAGTCGACCCGGCATACATAGGTATACAGAACCGTAGGTACCTGATAATACCCCTCTTTCCGCATCGATTTCAGGCCAGCCCCACCCGGCACAGGAGGCTCCTCAGAGAGAGCCAACACAATTATCATGTTGGTAGCTCGTACCAGTCCTTGGGGGACTCTCCAAGCCCACCCACCTAACCCGAAGGTTTGGTAACCGCAAATGCCGCCGGACATGAGGGCAGAGCTGAACGGCCGCCTCCCGACTCGACGGGAAGTCACGGCAGTAGTGGAGATGTAATAAGCAACTTCTTCCCATTTTGGCAGCCACTTGGACCTCTTTGACCCCTCTGCCTGTCGCGCGTCCTTGGGCCTGTTCTTCTTCGCCCCCTCCCACTTTTAATACCAGGATTCTCCCGTGGCGAGCGGCAAGCACACCTCCATGATTTCGGCCGCAATGCATCTATAGTTCAGTAATGTTATCAAAATGTGCAACCTTACAATAAAAGCAATAAGTAAAGAGGGCATAAGGATGATTACGCATACCCCTCATTGAAGGAAGTCATACACGAGACATTCGAGGCACAGGGCCGCAATATCACCACACCAGCCAGTTTGTCAAGCTCAGCGCAAGAGCGCCTCATTTCCAACATCTCCTCCGTGGGCTACCTGACATTTTGACGTGTGAAATCTTGGCATCAGGAGCCAGACTTAGCTTGATTGATCGTGCGCTAGCCTCCGGCCAACCCATCCGGCCCCGCCGGTGCAGCCAATCTCTGATCGCAAACACGGTTAACCCTAATATCAAAGATCTCTTTCGGAAAATCCAGTGTGCCATGGGTGGTTGGCTCAGTGAAATCCTGATGGACCGTTCTGCCTGACTCCGCCCCGGTTTCTTTGTGAGTCTCGTACTACACATCACGATCCGTACTTCCCCAAACTGGGTTGACGGAATGAAATTTGTTGCACTCTCATCCATATTCTGCCCTCGAACGCCCCCGCCCACCCCGTGCTAGTATGCCTCATGTCTACACTTGCCCATGTATCATCCCACGCCGCCTCCTTTTTTTTTTTTTTTTGTCTAGCCCGGGGTACCTGGGCGTCACTGCCCGCGCGATGGGGGTCGCAGTTTGGGCCACAAACAGATTGATGTGATACATAGATGATATGAGGTTGAGCTTCCTCCATAACAAAGACCCTGTCAACTTTGTCTTCGAAGCAGTTTGTGGGCCCTTTTGTACCCGGTTTATCACTCACGGAACGGCAACCAAGAATGGGCGGCCCGACATCGCAACCGACGCAGACGAAAGTTGAAGAAGCGGTTTGAGAGACCCCCGGCCCTTGTCCACAGGACGTCACTGCGGTTAAAACTGGCAGGCAACTTACACTGATTGAGGGTCTGAGAAATGGCACCCTCAAAGGCAGGGACCGGGGATCAAGCCTCAAACTTGGAAAGGCATCATCTGACTCGCGGCCTATTAGCTCAGGGTAATCAGACCGCCAGACTCGACCTTCAGGGGTGCATTAACGTATATATGTATTGAGGCTTGAGAGTACCATAGTATAGGTAAACGGGACTAATTGAGTTTCTTAAGTTTCGAGTCTGCAATTATCCTAGTAAGAGACAGTAGGATTATGCGGGATGCCTTGAACCCATACGTATCACTTGTATTAGCTGATTGAGTTGCCTTGCACACGTTGGGAGGTGACTCTGCAAGAGATTCGCGCGGACTTTCCTGATGAAGAACGAAGAAATTGTCTCCGGACCCTGCAGAGAGGGGCGAGGAAAAGGAAAGTCGCGCTCAGACACCAGGCCAGGAAGGGTACTGGGTACGTATCGCATCCATGGGTTTACACGGATGTCTTGGGTCCAACACCTTGACGGACCCCAGTGATGACAATTCTCGTGGGGTGAGAGTGCTTTTCCCCCGTCGTGACTTGTGAGAATTCCGACAGACTGGTACAGGCTAATCCTCTTCAGATCCCTTCCAATAAAACTCCTCGGCTTGCGAATAGTGGCTGCTGCAGAAATCCAACCACATGCACAATCGTCCTCCATGGCGATAACAACGAAACAAAGAGACGAGACCTCTCGCAAAACTTGCAGAGTTGTGAGGATCCGTGGTGCACAGGGTTTGTATCAGGATCGAGGCTAATGGAATTGTACAGACCTGGCGGATGTCGTGGTTGGTTGCTGTCAAAAACGGCACATGGCGGAAAGTGACATGGCAAGGGGAGGGAAGCGAGCGAGAGAGTGTTGAGCAAACAAACTGTCAGGACAACGCCAAAGGTCCCATCATGCTAAGCGATAGCTGAAGGCCTCCAGCCAGTCATGGGTAACTTTCCTGGTTCCGATCATGCCGGGGTTTCAGTTCCCTCTTGCTTCTGACCTTTTGCTCTCGGGGATGATTTTTTTACCCCTCCTAGGAGAGGCGAGGGGGTTCCGTGTCATCATTGCAGCCGTTTCCCGACATCGCAATACGAAGCTTCTCAACCATGTCTCCAAGCTAGCATCAATTAGCTTGACCGATGAAGACAAAGAACCTATCATCTCCAACCTAAAGTACAGGCAACGCTCTGGCTATAGTCCTCTCGTGAGGAGAAAAGAGAAACGATGCAGGAACACATCATACCCAAAGAGGTGATCAAGAGAGTAGCGGGGATCTTCCAAGGGGCTTATCCTCATCGTACGCCTCCGCTCCGTGGGATGTCACTTCAGCCTTGAACGGCGATGACGATTCGTTCCTTGCTTTCCCCGGTGCTGATGGGCAG